ATGTAAAGCAGATGGTTTCTGTCTACTCTGTGCTACAGTCCGTCGTCTCAGCAGCTGTTTCTGTCCATTTCTGTCTCCCGTTTTTTATTCTCAATCAATCTTTGTGACGGTTTCTTTTCTTTCACTGTCACCATCTCTTATTTTTTTGTCTAATTTTACTCACAACTTTGACTTAACAGAAAGACCAGCTCTTAAATCTGTGCTTGAGAATGTCAGTCCAGCATGGATAGATGTTGAAAATCTGATTTTTATATCTTTTGGACTGTCTTCTTCTTAACTATCCATCCTACTGTCCACCCATCCATCCATTATGCCTGCTCAATCCAGTTCAGGGTTCTGGAGCCTATCCTAACTGTCATTGGTCTAGAGGCAGCATACATCCTGGAAAGGTCCATCACACGGCTCCTTCTTAACTGTCCTTCATAATGATTCCTTTCCTTCCATTTATTTTTCTTCCACATTACTTGAAAGAGACTCACCGTTAAGTTGGAGGACAGCCATGCTGTGTCAGTAGAGTCTATTTTTTGCTCTCCACACAGCTGTAGTTTACCAACATTAACACCCACTCTTCCTCACCCCTACTGAGAGTGAGGAGGGACGAAGACTGAAGGAGACGATGTTAAACAGGGTGAGAATAAGGGTTAGCGATAGAGACAGAGAGACTCAAAAGAGAAAGGACCGATGGCTACTGAGGACGTTTGATGAGATGAGGAAGCTACAGAGGAGAGGAAGAGAGGGATGAGGCCAGCGGAGGCAGCTGGTGTGGAACAGTGCAGGGCTGGAGTGAAGGAAAGGCTGAAAGAAGAGCTTATTTAGCTGCAGACATGAAATAAACTTGGAGGAGGGCGTTGCCAACAGCGTGGCTATTATTCGGTGTTTCAGCTACAAAGCATCAAAGGCTGAGAGTTGAGTAGACATGGGTGTCCTGGGCTTTTGAATGTTCAGGGACACATTGTTGTTTCATCATTTCATGAACATCAATTAGGGAAAATGTGCATAAAACTGACTCGATGGGTTTTTATTATTTTCTGATTCATTTTTGTGACTGCAGTCAGTAAGTACAACCAGTAATGTTACTTTCTAAGCAAATTTGATATGATAGTTTGTATTTGTTATACCAGCCACCACTGCTAAATGAAAAAAAGAAAAATGTAGCTTCATTGCTATCAGGTCATTAAAAAAGCATGCTAACTCCCATTTTAATGATATGATCTAAATATACTATTTCACTGGGAGTCACGAAATTGCATATCATAAATTGATAATAATCGCAAATATGATTAGAATGAGGCACACTTGGGAGTTTGTGGTTAAGCAACAGTTTATATAGGTGAAGGTAATGTTGCATCTCTACAGTTAACAGTCAGAAACCCTTTTCAAAACATTTTATCAATCATTTCACACCCCTTAAAATATTCTTCTACATTTCATTATCACCTGTCATGAAATCACAAAACACAATCTCTTAACACGGCTCATTTCAGGGCAGTGTCTTTGCATTTGTGACCAATATACTGTATATTGTGACTAATATTTATATGACTAATACATTATATTTAGTGGCTAATGTTCACAAATAGAACAGAAACAAAAAAAACAAAAAACAACACAAAACTAGTTCATATATATTCATATATTCAGATCCTGGTCTTATTCCTTTTGATTTCCCCTCCCTGTACTATTCCAGCTGTTTAGCTGGTCACAAAACAATGGTTTAGAATGATAAAAAAAAAGTTTGTATCATCAAAAGCTGTTTCCTCTTGCACAGATCTCTGTTCTGCTATGAGGCTTAATCTAGGGAAGTGGTTTCAATGGATTTTCAGACATACAGTCAACTTTAATTGTCTGGTACTGTTAATATATCAGCTATTATAAGTTAGGTCCCATATTGAATAAATGTTTCAACCGCTGCATGTTTTTATGTAAAATCTTATACACGTTTCCTTATACAATGACTTGTAGAGCATGTCGTGTAAAAATATGAACCCTAACTTTAAAACAGGAAGTCTATGGTCTGTAGACTAGTTTAATCTTTATGTTTCAGTAAACACCTTGCTGGTGTTGAAATAAATATGAACCACAGTGCAGAAATACTTTTTTTTTGCTTGTACACTCGTAAAGTGGTAGTTAAGAAGGTCAAAACCCGTGATTCTGTTGATGAACTGTCTCAAAACATCACCTGAAACTTTGGTGTAATGCGTTGGAAGTGGAGAAGTTGGTTACTTGCTGTCTTGCTCACGGGGGTTTTCTCACTGTTTGCATGCACGTATGAGTGTGTCTGTGCATGTTGGACAGCCACACGTCAACTTCCTCTGCATCCACGTGTGCCGACAAACTCACACTGATTGTAAGTTCTGCTTCTGAAAGAGCACATGCCCGCAATGTGTGCTTTGTGTAGTTCTCATTTGCTTTAACATCTTTTGGAGGTAACGCTGACAATCTTAATCTAGCTGGCAATGAGCTTCAGGAGCAGAATCACCTTCAGGAAGAAAATAAAGACCAAGCGAATTCGATCGGATTTTAACCGGCTGAGTATAGTATGTATTTGTTTGTCTCCTCCTGTCTCTTGTGTCTTGCCTCAATCTCACATATCATTCAATGAATGTGACGTTGCTGTAATCAGTCAGAAACGTGTGTGAATAGAAAAAAACCTTTTTGTAATCTTTTGGGTTTTTGTAACCGTGTTCCTAATAACTGTTAATAACTTGAATACCCTTCTTTGAAATATATATTTGGTACTGTCTTTTAGCATGATTCAAACATATATATTCTCAAAAAACAATATTTGCACTTAATTTATCTGGCAATGCTACAAGTCTTAAAATTCTAAAATGTACAGCATGTGATTTCATGAGGGAACACCAGATATTCCCCTTATAAAATTTTCTCTGATGTCACAGGGCTTTGAGTAGAGCACCATTATATAAATCGAAACTTCGAACTACATGAACTCAACTATGTTGCTATTCTCTTATCTGATGTAATGGCTTTTTCCCCGTTTCAATATTTTCTGATTGTTTGGTTATCACAACTTCAAACAACTTTCTAACTACCTTTCCCTTTTTTAAATGTATATTTGATGTAATTTATAGTTCTTAAAGGTTGATAAAATTGTGATCATTGTTGACATTTTAGTGATGCAAAGTGACATTGTTTTTAGCAAGTTTTATAAATGAACAGAAAAAAGGAACAAAAAGCTGAAGTACAGCTGTTTGTGATGACCAGCCATACACACTCACGGTGCGAGTGGAGACGACTGTGCTGATGTTTAGTGCCGTGCAAGAGGGTTTCAATTTTAGAGAGCTGTGGTGAGTGTAGAGGGAGCGATTGTGCAAAGCCACGGTGACCTTTTTGCCTAGAACTGTGATGTTCTTTGTGTTTGTCTTTTAGCTTTGAGCCAGAAGAACTGCTTAAACGGTTAAACTCTGTGTGGCATGTACAAGATTAGCCTGCGCTTCACTCATCAACCAAACTAAAGATCATAACTTCCTCTGCGTTTCTGACCACAACCGGCTCCACCTCTCAGTTTATTGTGACTGCTGCTATGTTGCTGCCTGAATGAAACCGAATGACAGAAGCTATTTAGCATGTATGTCCTCTTTTCTGACTTATTTAAAGCATTTTCTACGGAACTCCCCTCGTAGTTAGATGGACAAGATGGTTTCCAGTTTTGTTTAGAGTAGTGAAAAGTTGTCTGACGTTTTCATTTAAATACATGTTTATTTTATGCAGACAGAACTGTTTTCTGCATAGCGTTTTACTGTATTAAAAGCTGCAAGTTCATCAGTAAAGTGTTTCAAAGCCACATTTCAGGTGAAGCGTTACTTCCCCATCAACTTATTTAGGTTTGCATGATCTCATGGCAAAACACAGGAAATGTCTTGATCATGGCAACCTTTAACTTTAGCAGCACGGTTTAATTATTTGTTAGTCATGGCAAATTAGCTGTGACTAATTCTCCCTAATTGTGTAGAATTGTGTGGAATTCTATGTCTCGGTCATGGAAGCAGATGGTAATGCTGTGGCAGAAAGTGTTTCATAGTTGAAATACCCCAATGTGTCTCCTAACACCTCAACCCCAGTACTTTGTAGTTGTATTTAATTTTTTAATAGTTTTAATTGTTAAGACTTAGAATTTTGATAAATAAGGTGAAATTTTGTAATGGATATTTAAGGGAATTTTTAATTATTTTCAATGTAATGATATTTTTATATTTGATCATATTTAATCATTTGGGATGACTGTAGATTAGGAAAAGGTATTCTGCCACATATATGAAATATTCATAAACAGACATTATTTAATACCATTTTGAATATCTGATACCTCATGGTATTTATTATTATAGTATATAAATGTTTTCTTTTCTTACAATACTGTTCATATCGAGTGTTACATCCTGTCCTAAATCGTATCTTTGTGTATCATATATATATATATTATCATATTATATGGTCTGTGGCATATATTTGGTTTGATCTGTATCCTTATCACAATATTTTGTTGCATTGTATTGATGGTATTATAGTGAATCATAAGGCTTTTCAACAAAAGACTGCTTCCTTATTGAAAATATGATGCAATCTTTAAGTGGTTTAAATGTTGCTGCTGGTTGGAGTGGACAGTCCAAAATACATGAGTTGGTTAATAATACCAGTAATAGAAAATAAAGTCTTAGGAGGACAATTAAAGTGTAACTTTGAAGTACAACCTACAACCTAAGCGAGTCTGATATCCAGATGATGTACTTGTGAATATGTTCAGTTTAATTATAATGTCAATAGTAAAGGACAAAAATGAAGAAAACAAGTCTCCACGGGCTCATCATTGTAATATGTTGTAGTGTGCAGGAGATCCTGGTATAGTGTATTGTACCCATCAAATTACCACATCTTATTTGACCAAATAATATCTTATTTCATGTATTGCACTTCTGCACAAATGTAAGACACACAGCTGTGTGTGAATATTGATCAAGTCTCTGTGTTTCTATTTGCAGCAGGAGAAGCCGAAGGTGATCGACCCTCTCGATTATGAGGCTGTCGTCTCTGAGTTGGGGGATGAGTTGAAGGACGACCCTCTCAGAGACCTGCTCCTGTTCCCGGAAAATGATTTCTCAGTAAGTGTTCGTTAATTGTATCAGTGGTGATCAGAGCTGAAACCTGGGCAAGAATTGGAAAATCTTTTGACTAAAAGAGGCCATAAAGTTTTAGGAATTTGTATAAAAAAAAAATTGTAATGAATTTTTTTCAGCTGTGAATTTTCTCATAATATATTGCCGTTTAAAAGGAGTATGCGCCAGTTTTTTCTCCAATCTGCAAATGCCATCATTTATTCTCACTAATTATAGACTTTATTACTGTCGGTTGCATATTCTCTCTGGGTTCCTTTCGCTGTTTGTTTATTACTACCTACATTACTATGCTAATTTTTGGCTACAGAAGCGCATCATTTGTGCAGTAAATACTCTAATTGGCTGCTTGTGGTAAAGGGATTCATTTGCTTGTGCACCCCAGAGATGGATCCTAAATGTACTGACTGTTTTGGTTGTCTTGTTCAGCAACCTTCTGTGATACTTTTTTTTCATTCTGTAGTTATGTAACTGAGGCAATTGCTAATGAAGAAAAGGCATTACGTGCTCTTTTTCTATGCGATTTAATTGGTGAATGCAGAGCTGTGGCCTGCATTACATCCACTGTTGATTGATGCGCTTATGCTTACTTGTTTTTCATTCTGTATGCAGGGATACCTCAGGATTTCATTCTCAATATGGCAGAACATTTCAAAGATTTACTTATATATTTTTTTAGTTCATTAGATCATAAAGTAATTAGTAATTAAAGCTACACGATTTATAGGTAAAATAGTTACTTATTCTGTCTGTGCTGAGAAAAGGAAACTTAGAATAAAGATTCCATCAGGAAACTGATTGAACTAATATTTTGAAGATCATCCAGAATATCCTATATAATAAGAGTATCAAGTTGTAGCACTTTATGGCCAGATGTCAGGGGTATCGCATGTTGTGCGGTTGAGTACAATCGGTGCTAAACATTAAAAGTTATTGGCTCATGAAATGCTCATTGTTGGAAGAACACCAGTCTTCTTTCGGATTGGACAATTTAGCATTTCCTTTTGTGTTGCTCATCCCGCAAAGTTAATCAAAACTCTTAAGAAAGAAGAGTAATAAATGCCTGTGGCCACTAAAATGTCGCCCACTGTTTGTGAATTGTCATTTTGAAGTCTTTCCATCTTGTGTGCTTCCAAGCAGATGTGTTCACTTTTTCTCAAGATGGTAACCAATCTTTTTTTATTCCTTTGTCCCTCTAGGTATCCACTGTGCCTCAGGAGAGACGAACTCTCAATTCAACTGTTCCCGAGGGGGCAGAACTCCAGGCTGAATGTCTGCTGGTCAGACAGGTAATATAAGAATGATCATAAAGTGGGGTTCAAGCTTTTTTCTAGGTGGATATTCACAGTTAGCTAGTATAAGGAAGCAAGCACGAAGGCAATGTGCTCATGCATTTTTGTCCCAGTTATAAGTTTAGATGCTGCATTTTGAGTCAACTCAAGATGAAAAAGGGAGTTCTGATTCATTCCCAAGATTAAGGAAGTAACTACCATGAAACCCACCCAAACGTGGGTTCTTTTTAGGTGTTTTCTCTTCCTCCAACAGTTCAAAAACATACTTGTTAGGTTGACTAACAATTCTAAACCTACCCCAGGAGTGTATTTGCCTTTTGTCCATTTGGTTCTCCAGCCAACTGGAGCAGAGTAACCTCTGGCATTTCTATAATTTAGATCCCGCCCCATAGATAGGTTTATGATATTATATTCAAGGCAATGCGGAGTATGAGCACATCTCGTCGTGCAGGCCATAAAAACAGACATAAGATGACGGGGTAAGATGAGTGGATGCTTCTGGGAGCGTTTGTCACTTGCAACATCTAACGTGCTCGACTTCGGTGAAACCTTTTGTGGTTTTAGAAAGAAAAGGGTTTCCGTTTGTGGTCATTTTTCAGTTTATGCTGTTTTTGAAATACTACTTGCTTTTACCAGAAGGTAGTTTCACAGTACCATAGAAATTCACCAGACGTGTACCTGCAACATGCTTTATTTTTAATTAACCAGCTGTCGAGAGGTTACAGTTGAGAAGTTTTGTCTGCATTTAAGGAAATCCCCCTATCACGTTCACGTCATTCAAGCATTGTTCCTATGTCTTGATTTTTTCCCCCCTTCTTTTGTGTACGTGCTCTTCTAATTACAACTAAATATGATGCAATTGAGTTGATTTAGAAGTTGTGACATTGTTTATTGATGTTCAAAATCATTCTGTACAAACTAAGTAAAGAGAATTGTGAAACTGCCTTCAGGAAGCAGACAGGATGTGAAAGTACCCTGCAGTCTCTGTGACTTCCACTGTACTGTACATATTTTAGATACAGTATTATTATCACATGCAGATTTCAATGTAATTTATTAAATTCCTTTGTAAAATGATGTAATGATGAATTCCACTCCATTGATCAACTGATGCTGTTTTTACTGTCTATTTTTTTAGCTCCACATTTCTGAAAAGAATGTACTTTTAAAAATATGATAAAAAATAAATCTTCATTCTTTTTTTTCAGGCCTGCAAATATTACAACTCTGACCTGAGTGTTGTCCAGTTCAAGTATGATGACTATGCTGGGGACTACCGCCTACTACCCAGGTGATCATTTCTGAACAATTCTCATATGAACTTTCTCTTTATATTCATTTAGGTTTGGGCTTGTTTGAGAATTTGACAGCAAACACTTAAATATTTGAAAATTTTTGGTTGGTTCTGATTCTAAAACTGAATAATAATGGCAAAACCAGACAGATTGACCCAAGAGCCTGAGGACAACTGACATGAAGAGCCTCACCCTAACTGATTACTGATGCTGACAGTATTTGATACAGCTCTTTCTGTATACTTATGCCACAAAACATTAGTTTAGATTGCAAATGGCACTCAGACACGAACCACTGATGTGAACAGTGTTTAAGAAACCCAGGCTTGCCATATTAGACGTTCTATGGCAGTGACATAATGATATGGCTCCATGGCGGCTCCCAAGCAAGAAAAAAAACTAAATGGTTATTAGATGGTTGAACCTACTCCAAACTGGGATGAGGGAAGGAGCAATGGAAAATGGTTTAAAAAATGCTCATGAGTATGCAGCATATTTTATAACTGAAAACTCAGCTAATCATTTGGACAGTGACTTTAGAATTAATTAATATAATACAAAAACTTCCCATTGTAGGTTAGTATTTGTAATTAAAGCTCCAGAGTCCCCTCTGTGGCTCATTGCACCACCAAAGGCTTCATCTTACCATTACAAACTTAAAAGATTGGAAAAGGTGTCAACTGGTCCAAGTACCTATCTGTTTGTCTTTTCTTTGCTAAGTGCAGATTCTTTAAAACTATAAAAACTGTTCCATGAAAAATGTGCAATCAGGATAGTTTGACAGCCTTACTTGACTAATGCATTTTTCTTCTCATTAATAAAAAGCTGTTAAACATCACTCTATTACACTGGCAGTGAAAAGACTTTCCCCATTGGTTTGGCTTTAACTCATATTGTAATTAGCCACCATCTTTCACTTTTCAATCCATTCACTTTTTGGATGTCAGTCATCCAGTCAAACCCTTATTTGATCTGTCAGTCACTGCCTTCTTTCGTTTTAGTCATTCCCAGTTAGACTTCCCTAGAGCCTCCCCACAGCCACAGGAATGTCCCTCCTCTGTCCCACGGGCTGCCACTGTATTCTTTTTGTCAGTTCTCATGACCTCTGAAATTACATCAAGGAATCATTCTTAAGTCAAATGAAACTCAAACGCAACTTGGAGCAGAACACTGCGGAAGTATTACTCCGCAAAGGTCGCATGTCCTGTCGTCTAAAATGTACGACGCACAAGGACCACTCTGTTTGTTTCCCATGCATGTAAACCGGCAGTTTGGTTTGAGATTTATCGAACAAGCTAAAAAGCAGCTAGATGTTACAGCTGTGATTTGAAAGGAGCGTCCTTCATTTGTGCTGGCCTGTAGTAGCATTCCTGGGTTGGTGTCCAGCCCGCAGTCACCACAGCTTTTTATAAACACGGTCCAACAGGAGATTTTGTCTGACAGCTTTTACGGCTGTTGGACTTGCAGCGGTGGGCAGCTCCAGTGTTATCCTCTACACGCTGCAGCCTGGCTGTCTGCACCTCACAGCACATACACAAAGACTTTTCACCCCAAAGCTCGGACACAAAGACGAGTCCGTCTGTGAAATCAGTGGAGCGGCATTGAGCAGACTACCTATTGTTGACTCCCCACAGAAGGCAATGGAGCGGAGTGAGCCACCCCGAGTAGTTAGTTTTATTCAAATAAAGTGGAGTTACTGAATTCCGGGAATGTTTCTTTTTTCACTCTCCACCATTGAATATGTAATTAGAGATTCATAACGTCTTAACATATTTCTCTTTCCCCATTCCTTTAAAGAAAACTGTACAAAGCAGAAAAGCTGCCATCCCATTCTTTTGAGATTGACTATGAAGACGTGGACAAAGATGAGGTCAGTGATGACCATCTCTTTCAAGTGCTTTTCAAATTAAAAACATTCTGAACCTCCATGTTTTGATATTGTTATTGCACCGTTAAAGATTTGAAAGATTATCTTATGTAGGTTGATATGTTGATTAGCATCATTTGTGGGACAAATGGTCAGTTAAGGGTTCAGAAAGTGTCCTTCCATATCGACCAGTTTCTTTGTAGCAGACAGATAAATGAAGGGGTAAAACTTTTACCTGATCGTGTTTGTTTTACAGGATACCACTTCTCTTTCCTCGTCCAAAGGCGGAGGTGGTGGAGGAGGGGGAGGAGGAGGGATTGGCGTGTTTCGGTCAGGCTGGCTGTATAAGGGGAACTTCAACAGCACTGTCAACAACAGTATCACTGTCCGAGTGAGGAAACGTCTAAAGTTTTCCCTCTTTACACCTGCACTCTGTTTTCATACCAAATTTTAAAAAAACTGTTCAAGGTTTAAATCTGTCTTCCATTCATAAAAATATTTAACAAGATATAGCAGCTTATGCTGAATTGCTTGGTAGCAATTGCCATTATTGGTATGCATAGTTCATAATTTCACACAGACAAGTCACTTTTCTTTGATTTTGATCTTTTTTTGTAACTTTACTCAATAGATAATCAAATATGTTTCCTATAACTTCAAGCTAGGTTTTGTATTCAAAACATGTTTCTCTGTGTGCAGTCATTCAAGAGAAGATTTTTCCAGCTTACACAGCTGACGGATAATTCCTACATTATGAACTTCTACAAAGATGAAAAGATTTCCAAGGAACCAAAAGGTTGCATCTTTCTTGACTCGTGCACAGGTGTAGTACAGGTGGGTCTCAATACAATCAAACAAGAAAATAAAGCAAAATTGTGACAATGTCTAAAAATCAAATCCCGTCTTTTTCTTCATCTCAAAAGAATAACCGCCTGAGGAAACATGCCTTTGAGCTGAAGATGAATGAGGTCACATACTTTGTGCTGGCCGCAGAGAGCGAGCAGGACATGGAGGAGTGGATAAGCACACTGACCCGCATCTTACAGATCAGTCCCCATGAAGCCCCTGCTCCTGACCGCAAGAGCCAGGACCTGACCGAACACCGGCAGGGTGAGATGGGTTATGTACCTTCAGTGGATGTTGAGAAGGAGAGCTGAAAAAAAGTCAAACAGAGGCAAGGAGCTGGAAGCACAGATGGTGATATGTTGAAAGAGCAGCATTTAAAAGAAATTAAGAGAAAATTTGTGTGGTGTATAAACCACGATTCCCTTAAGAAAAAGATGATTTTGTGCCCTGTGTCTGCAACGTTTGAACCTTTTCCTTTCTGTCTGACTTACATTAACTGAGTAGAACTAGTTGTCCTGCCTTGGCATGAGTGCTGCATGGTGGTAAACTCTGTTGCTTCTCAACAGATTTGCATGCTTCGTGGTTCAAATCCTGAGTGGCCTGTCTGTGTGAAGCTTGCTCCCTGTGATTGCGTTGGTTTTCTCTAAGCTTCTTCCTGCCATCCAATAGCATTTAGTTACTGCCTCTAAAATGATCCCATCAGTGAGTGCACCCTTGCATGTTTTTTTTGTCTCTGTGCGACCCTGTGAGAACGTTTAAGTGCAGCGTAACATAAACACAACATAAATTTGTGGAAATGAAACCTGACAGTGACTCCACCTTGGTTTGAGGTTGTGATTCGGAGATTTCGTTGGCCAGTTCTGTTAGATGTTGGTCATTGGTCCGCAGCCTGTAACCTAACAAAACACAAACCCACTGAAAATGAAGGAATGATGTAATAGCCTCAGCCGTCTTGACTCTGCAGCCTGCTGGCATGCCGCTAAATCAAGCTCAGGGTGTGTGGTGACCTACCATTAATCAGCTATTATGTTCAGCTTGGCTTTTGGGAAGAGTAGCTCCAGGCAACATGAGGGTATACTTCTGTCTAAGCATGTAGGGCTTATTATTCATAAACGCCCCAGATGGAGTCATATTTTATTTCTCAATTTGATATATGCCTGCTAGCTGTGGTTAAACTGTGTTTACATTACTGCTGAACCTACTTTAGAAACTGTTATATTTGCCTTCATGTAAAATTAATTGCTTGGGTAAATTTTCCCATCCAGTCAATGGCGGCAGTCGTCACTTTCAAACAAACCTTTAGGACTGCTGATTGTGTTTGTTTTTCTCTGCAGATGTGTTTGACCTTTCGCTGAGCGACTGCTGCTTGCAGGAAAATGAAGAAACTACAGAAAATGGCATCAATCCAGAGCTGGCAAAAGTTGGTTACAGTGCCTTTTCTCCATTTTTTTAATACAGCAAGAAATTTTCTGCCACAAAAGTGATTCAGGCATTTTGTATTTCAGTGTATTTTTACTTTAGTTTATTTAACAGGAACAGTACTCCTACATAGATACTGCCGAAAATGTACCTGAGTAGACCAAGATGCTATTTCTAATCTGTACCTTGGTTCATTTGTTGAACTGCATTGATTTATTTCCGACAACATCGTAAGAATGGACTAATAATCAGAATCTTTTAACAAACAATGCTAAATCCTATAAAGCAACTACTGCCCCCTCCTCTTTGTCAAAAATCTGAATCTATCAAAGACCGACTTAACCACTTTAAAACTGACCATGTGTGTACAAGTTGGAATTGAGGTAAATTGCATTGTCTTTAACCCACTGATTATGATGGAAAGCAGAGTTTTTTGTTTGCACTGGAGCATCATAGTGGGGCATTATATCATTCAAACACTGTGGATTCCATCTAAAAACATAACAGTACTTGAACAAATGAACAGAAATAAGTCTAACCCTGTGAAGAAATGGTTTGAATTAACTTCAAAAGCTTACTTAACATTTTCTGAGGAAGGAGGTTTCAGTGGTTCTTTTTTTGTGAAAATCCAAAGATCAGAGTGTTTTTTTTTTCTTTAAAAACACATGTAAGTGTTCTCTGATTCTCTCCCTATTATTTTTTTTTTGTTGCTATTTCTTCTGTCACAGTACATCTCGGAGACAGACGAGGGACTTCGTTCTGCCAGAAGAGAAGAGCGTTTGAATCTGTTCTCTCTCGATCCTGACACTCCTGTAAGACTTCTGTTACAGCGAATCCATTCAAACTATAGTTTTCCTTAACGCGCATTCCTAGGTTTTAGGACCTTTTCCCCCTGAAACCAAACAAATCAAAATAAAAAGCCTTTCCTAATTTGAAATGTGGTTGTCCAACCGCAGGTCCTGAGGAGCCCTCGGACTGAACACTCATCAGCTGAAAACGCGGCAGTGCGTCCATTTGAGGAGAAGCTTGGCAGAAGGTTTATGATAAGTTGCAGATCCCTCAACCTCATGCTGCAGGGCTGTGTCAATGAGAGCGAAACTGGACCAGTCACCAATGTGAGGAGGGCAGCCGTACAGCTTCCAAACTGTCTTGTGTTTGTGATCTTAGTGTTTATCTAGTTATGTGAAAAGACTGGATTTTTCTTGTATTCACTTTTGAAGATGATTTATTTCACATCTTTCCTAGTTACTTTCCACATAAGGGTTTTAAAAGAAGATAATTGTGTTTTTTGTTTGTGGAGCAGCTCCTGTAAATGTGGCGTTATTGACCGAGTTGAATCTGCTCCACTAGATCGAACCTTTCTTTGTCTCGCTGGCTCTGCTGGATGTGCGAGAAGGGAGAAAGGTGTCTGCAGATTTCCACGTAGACCTAAACCACGAAACAGTGCGTCAGATGCTCGGAAGCTATAGCAACGGCACAGGGATTCCATGTGCAGGAGTTGGAGCTCAGGAGAATGGCTTGTGCTCGCCTGCTGAGAGGAAGCCAGGTGATTGTCACCTTAGCCTGGACCTGGACCATTGGCTGTGCTTTCCCAAACAGGTAAAAACACATATTTCTACTTCTCAGCCCATTCTCTGCATTATCTTTGAAGTTTTTTTTTTTTTTAACTTGCCCCTCAAATGTTTTATATACAGGCCATTTTTTCTGTAACCAACCCTCATACTGATATTGTCATGGTGGCAAGAGTGGAAAAGGTGCTGATGGGGAATATCACATGTGGCACTGAGCCTTATATCAAGAATACTGACTCCAGCAAGGTCAGTATTTCTTTTTTCATTCCTACTTCTGTGACTTTGTTGCATTCTTTTTTATATCACTTCAGCATTTGTAATAACATAGAGCATAAAGCTTTCATGTCATGTCTTAGAAGAGGCTAGATCAAAATGTGACCTATGACACATGCTTTTTAAGGGTTTTTGGAAAGGAACAATGGCTTCATTTATAACTGTTTAGACTGACTTTTGCAATTTGCAATTGGTTTTCCTGTAAAGCCTGGGTTTATCTTCATCTCCGCATGCCAGGACAGCTAAAAAGTGAGGTCTTTCCACGATCCTGTCCAAGACATTTCCCTGTTTTTCCTGCTGGTAGTGCTCCATGTGGGCCATGTTTAGATGGCTAAATGAATCAGCAGACATTCAACCTGATGTCACAGTCGCTGTTGAAACAACCCCTTGATTTAGTTTAGTCACACTAGCGGGGTCAGCAAGAATTTAGGGGGTATCCCACATTGTGTTTAAGAATACCAGCTGCGGCGTGTTGTTAACATTATTCTCTGTTCACACCTCTTTGCTTGTATCTTTAACAGGGTGTTCAGAAAATTTTAAAATCCAACAAGCAGTTTTGCAGCAAACTGGGAAAGTACCGCATGCCGTTTGCCTGGTCTGTAAGGTTAGTTTCAGTTTCTGAAGATTAATTTAGACACATTTCTTCCTTGTAACTTCAATTTCGTGTTGCCCGAAAACTCCCACCTTGTTTTTACTGTTACAGGCCAGTGTTTAAGGACAACCACGGGGCACTGGACAGAGAATCTCGTTTCTCACCACTTTTCAAACAGGAGAGTAACAAGATTTCCACAGATGATCTCATAAAGTTGGTGACTGAGTACAGGAGGTAAAATGGCTCTCACCCAAAAGGATGGAAAAGTTTCTAAACATGTTCTATATGATATTTTATTTCAACGCTTACATTTTCAGGGCTGAGAAGACCAGCAAACTGCAGACCGTGCCTGGGACACTTGACATCTCAATGGACTATGTTCCGTTGGAGCATCCTAGTATGTCTTCTCTTCATTAGAAAAATGTCTTCTCTGTGCCCCCTTTCGTTTTCTGCTCTGATTTACAACTTTCTGTTTCAGACTGCATGACTTCCTCATATGTTCCGGTGAAGCCTTTTGAAGACCTGACGAAACACCAGCCTACAGTGGAGGTGGAGGAGTTTGTCCAGGACACCACCAAGTTCACCCAGCCACACCGTGTCTATAGAAACCACATCTATGTCTACCCCAAACACCTCAAGTATGACAGCCAGAAAAGCTTTGCAAAGGCGAGTAATGTTTTATATACAGGACTTTCATATCTATGCATGGAAATACCTGTGTCTATCTATAAATTGTCATATTAACATTTTTTCCTTTCATAAATTTTTTTTATGGTTATATATTTTTTCCACTTGTTTTTCACATTAATGTTATAATAGTCCTCTTGTTCACAGGCCCGTAACATTGCAGTATATGTGGAGTTCCGCAGCTCAGACGAAGAAGTGGCCAAACCCCTAAAGGTGGGCCATTGTATTTTTAAAGATACACAGGAGACATTAATTTTCTTGTGTTATACTTGCTTTTCTTTGTTCAACTGAGCTCACTATATCAATCATTTATTTAGTGTATCTATGGCAAGCCTGGAGGACCAGTCTTCACCACAGCAGCCTGCTCAACAGTCCTCCATCACTCTCAGAACCCTGACTTCTATGATGAGGTAAGGAAAATAAATGCGCAGAATTTCTGGATGATTTCAAGAGTTTTAGCGTAAAAGTAAAAAGAATCCTGAAATCAGTCATGTTTTCTCATAAATTACTAAATAAGGAACAACACTGCGTTTCCATCCTCAGGTAAAGATCGAGCTTCCCACCCAGCTTCATGAAAAGCATCACTTGCTTTTCTCTTTTTACCACGTCACCTGTGATATAAATGCCAAGACAAATGCAAAGAGGAAAGAGGCTCTGGAAACCCCAGGTGAGATGGTGGTAGATTTTGATCATGTGGCATTCCTGTTATTATTTTTTGCCTCTCCTTTTTTCACATCTATCTCTTTTTCTAGTGGGATATTCTTGGCTTCCTCTTCTCAAAGAAGGCCGTGTATCATCTCAGGAGTTCAGCATCTCTGTCTCCTGTAACCTGCCCCCTGGATATTTGGCCATCAAGGAAGCCAGTAATACCAAGGTAAGGGTGAGGAAGGAACCAGGATTATATGATAAAAAATATAGATGAACAATGAGAACTTTAATATGAATGATGGATGTTCAAGATTATGACATCAACAGGGTGTTTCCAGTGCTCACTTTCATGCTGTTCTGAAACACTTTTCACAGAGTGGAGCAGATGTAAAGTGGGTCGATGGAGGAAAAGCAATCTTCAAAGTGTCCACAAATGTCGTCTCAACAGTGTACACTCAGGTAAGACCGATATATTTTTTTACATCTGATGATATATTTACAGTATGTCTCAGGGAAAGAGCACAACCTCACACATTGGTGGAAAAGTCCTGTGTTTATATATTAGTGAAATACAGAATGTGTGGACAGAAGGCTTTCTGTACAGTGACTGTGTGTAACAGTAAAATGAGCCTAAAAAGACCATTAGGCATTACTAAACAAATTACGCAGAGTGCTTATCCATTGTGAGTCCGCGAAACACATTTTGCATTAGTGGATAGTGTAGAGACCCTTTCTGGTGTGCTGTTAAAAAAAAAAGGGAATTCACTCTTTCTTTTTAGTTTTTCTAATGCAGGATGTTTGGATCTCGGCTGAAAGCTTTCTTGATTGGTTTATCAGTTAAAACTGGATTTTTTTTTTTACAAACAACTTCAACATGTAACAGAAAACAATGAATGAAATTAACTCCTCGTCATATGTCACAGAAAATGTTTGATTATGAATCTGAACGTGGGAACAGGATCATGTATAAGCCTGAGAAGCACAGCTACAAGACAACAACCTGGTCATTTTCTTTTGTCTTCAAAGCCTACAATGTGCTTAGGTTAAAGTTGAGGCTAAACATCTCAGTAACATTGTTGTGTGTTTTTATGGGCACATTGTACCATTAACCATTGAAAAAGTACAAATCAGCAAGTTGACTAAGTAATAGTGCAGCTGCTGGCCGCTGATTTCATGAATTCCTTTGTCTGTGCCAGGACCTCCACCTGAACCGATTTTTCCAGCAGTGCCAGAAGAGAGAGCTGGACCTCTCTCAGCCTCCTACCTCCAATTTCCTTAACTGCCTGAAGGTCAGTGAAAAAGCATCTGAATTTCCTCCATAATGTGTGATTGTGTCTGAAACTGAAACGTTTTAATAGAAATGTTCATTTCTAATGAGAGTAACACCATTTCAGACTTCTTTCAGTTCTTTTTAGCATTTTGTTTGGGGGGTGGTGGCAACCGTGGACTTTATTTTAACACTTCTTTCACACTCTTCTATAGGGTCTTCACAGCATGGAGAAAATTCCCGTGATTGTCCGGTTTCTGCCAGTGCTTTTCAACCAGCTGTTCAAGGTCCTGACTCAGAATGATGACGATGACGTCACTTCTGCCACCACCAGGTAGGCTTTGGTACTACATGTATCCGTAGCACGCAATAGTCCTACAAATGGGGCCCAGCGGATGTGGTAAACCATGCAGAAAGACCATCACAATTTAAAAGTCAGCAGTTTTCATCTTTCCTTTTTTAAATGCAGGAACATGATTTATTGGTTTGTCTGTTTTTTATTTAAATTGTTTTTAAAAATCATCCATGAGTTGAAGAGGAGCTAATACACTAAATCCATCCATTTTATGAACCAATCATCATAAAACAATCATTGCTATTGTCTTCCTGTTCCTGCAGAGTGTTGGTCCACATTGTTGGCAAGTGTCATGAAGAAAATCTGGATCACTACCTGCACTCTTATATCAAGGTATGTTATGACAGACAGACAACTGTGACAAAAAGTGTTAAGGGAATGAAGTAAATTGAGCTTGTATTTGTTAAAAAAATTGCTCTGTGGTTTTTAAAAATGTTTAAAATTTCAAAGTGGAGCAGAAATCCTGCATAGACAATTGAATATACAGAAAGGGATTAAAAAAAAAGGAGAAGGGTGCTTTTTATGTTTGTATATTTACTTATCTGTGTATGTGTGGCAAGGGCCACATGCCCAGAACACTGCACAGACACTCATGTAGAGGGGGAGAGAAAAAGGAGAGGGGGGGAGCAGGAGTTGATTGAGAGGGGGGCAAAGTAAGACATTGAGCCGCTTAATCAGAAGCACGAGGCCTGTTTGGGGAGAGTTGATCAGTGAGAGAATTAGAGACGAGAGGAAGAGAAACCACAAGTCCTGTGGACTGACCGCAAAGCAGAAAAGCTGCTGTTTTGTGGAGAGGCAGCAGCAGACAGGAGAGGTGGGGAGGATGAGGAGAGGGCTAATGAAAGCAGGGTTTCCATAGAAACAGATTGGCATGAAATCTGTGCTAGCAGGGTCCAGTTTGTGAGTCAAAGTATGTTTTAGTCTGAATAAGCCTGTGTTGTTGGAATTGAGGTTTATGCACAGACTCGAGTCATAATCACGCTGTGGCTCATTGTTTACTTTGTTGCAGTTTGATCAGGCAAGTGAAAAATATTGTATTTCAGTCCTTTGCTTTGGGAGACAGGCAGCGTTAATGGATGTTGACAGGCCTCCCTTTTATTTAGCAATAATCAATATTCATGAATAATAAAATATATTTTTTAAAACTAGTACATAATAGAAAAAAGCTAAAAAAAATCCTTGTTTTTTCCTTCTTTCTGTATGTTTTTAGTATGTGTTCAAGTCAGAAGCCTGTGGCTTCAGGACAGTCCATGAAGAGCTAGCTAAGGGGATGACCTTTGACCTGAAGAGTAATGAGCAGGTCGCTGTCAGAAATGTCCTCAAGGTTAGTCTCTACACACAGAATATTGATTTAAAATCTGTGAATTTGAATGTATTCAAAGTTGATGGTGTCTCAAATACTTTTGCCTCTTCCGGCTTCAGTTCTCCTGGTTCTTCTTTGAGCTTATCATCAAGTCGATGGCCCAGCATTTGGTTGACTCTGATAAACTAAAGGTAAGCAGTCACCTTTCATTTGTTTCTACTGAGAATCTTTCATCAAAACGTCACTGCTTTTAATTGGTTAGCTGCACTTTCTGATCTTGGCTGGCTGTGTAAATGTCCTCTATAGCTTCTGAGGCCCCAGCGTTTCCCCTCATCATATCTGAGCCGTGTGGAAACCTTGGTGGAGACCGTATCAGAGCACATCTTTTGGAAGTACAAAGAACTGGGCGAAGAAACACGCAGTGCCAACTTAGCTGTGGCGGCTTTCGTCAAGGTGTGAGAAATCCATCCATCAATCCATCCATTTTCTGAACTGCTTATTCCCAAATGGGGTCGCGGGGGAACTGGAGCCTATCCCAGTAGTGAATGGGCGAAAGGCAGGGTTACACCCTGGACGGTCCGCGAGTCCATCGCAGGGTTAAATTAAACATTTTCAAAAAGACACAATACCAGTAACAATACCAATAACAGTGCTATAGATAACGCCATGTTGATTTCTTAGCGAGCACACAGGGATGTGTTTTGAAGTTTACTACATTTTGCTTTTAGAGTGAACAAAACTAGATTTATGAAAATGTTACAGCTAAAACTGTTATGGATTAATAACTATCTGTATTTAATAAACTGTCTTTTCCTGTTATCAAGCTCTAAGTTAGGTCACTAATTTGACTCTTTCTGCATTTTGCATCTTTGCAGCGCTGCTTCACTCTGATGGACAGAGGCTTTACATTCAAACTGATAAGCAACTACATCAACATGATCACTGCTACCGACAGCAAGGTAACTGAATAAAGCAGAAGAATATAAAAACTTTTGCAGTCATGTTATCTTTGCATCTACAAAATTACACACTTTCGAAAATGGAGTCATGTGTTTTTGTGTGAACGATAGGTCCTGTGTGAGCTGAAATTCGAGTTTCTGAGAGAGGTGTGTAACCACGAGCACTACATCCCTCTCAGCCTGCCCTTACCCTCTGCTCGCATCACTGGTAAGATCCCAAATTAAACATTGAAGTTCAGTGCCACCATCTTTAATGTTGTAACTGCCATTCATCCAGTAACTCTCACTCTCATTCTTTTAGTAACTGTCTGTCAACGTCTCTTTCTCATTCTGTCTTTTTTTTTTCTCATTTTATGTGTCCATGTCAGACCATACATCCCTAGAGCCACAAAGCACTCATGGTAAATATGGTCACCCATTTCTTGTGAGGTTCATTGTGCTACAGAGTGCCCTCTTTAGCTTGTCACATTATTTTCTCACTATGACAAGATTTCTGTTTAAAAATGGGTGGAGTTGAAGCAAATATTGGCAAAGGTCTAAATCTAAATCGCGTGCAGCTCCGTTAACTTACATCTGTTGTCTCGCCTTAGTGTCAGTGCCTGAATACAACCTGACTGGAGAGTTCTGCAGGAAACACTTCCTGACCGGTCTGCTCCTGCGGGAGCTGGGGCTGGCTCTCCAGGATGAACAGGATCTGCGACATTTAGCCTTGGCCACCCTAAAAACTCTGATGGCCAAGCACTCCCTGGATGCACGCTATGCCACCAAGGTAGAAATGTTTATCTTGCAGAAAACCAAAAGGCATGGGAATGACTCATGTGCACACAGCAGAGTTTTTTCCACTGTGACTCATGCATCCAAACACATGCATACTGACATGGGATTTTTCTTAGCAGCTGCAGACAGCATTTTGGGCATCTTAATGCTGGGAAATATCAAGATCAGATCAAGCTAGTAATCTGTCTTCTGCGAAACACTGCCAACCTCTACACAATTGCAGGACTGTGTCTAGGTCAAAACCAAATGTGTCATGGGGATGAAAACAGGAAACTCATGGAGTTTTTCTGAAAGGCCACAGTTTTTTTTTATATATCAGAGCAAGTAACAATTTCACTTCTAATTTAAATAGTTGTGGACTATGTTTATGGGTAGAGAAAACTGGGCAAAATCAACATGTAAACATTTTGACGTTCCTGTGTATGTTTTATCTTGTATGATGACAGAGGATGTGATTTGGTACATTTGCAGGAATTTTTAATTCCTTTTTATTTTGTATTTCCCCTAATGTTTTTCCAGGAGAAGCAGGCGAAAATTGCTTCTCTCTACCTTCCTCTATATGGCTTGATCCTGGACAACATGCCTCGATTCTTCCTCAGGGAACTCTTCCCCATTTACTTCACTTCTAGTGATCAGGTAAGAGATTCAGAACGAAAGACAAAATGACTCGGTATTGAGTGAGTGTTAGACATATAAAGGAATTATTGGAGTAAAACCACTTCTGTTTAAGTTGTGTCACTCTACAGTTGTGAAATGACAGAATGATTGAAAGATTTATTGTTCATTTCACATTACTTGTAATGTGGCAAAATGGAAGCATTCTTCATTTTATATTTAGTAATTCCACAGATATAATTGGAATCAGTTGCATCAGTATATAAATGCAGCATATAAATGTTTTTAAAAAAAGCTAATTCTTTAGTCATATCTTGTGAATAACTGAACAGACACATTTTAACAGAAAAGACTGTGAACAAAAAGCATTTATTTGAGTCTTTTCTCCCCTGCACTATTCACAGGGCTCTCGAGATGACGTCAGCGTGGGAGGGGGAATGGCACCAGGGGTGATGCCTGTTACTCGTCATGGCAACTCTGTAGATGCCTCCTTTTCCAAAGAAGTGCTCAACTCCATTACAGGTATCACCGTGTCATATATGTGTATCAATTTTATGGGGCAGGATACCGAACAAAGGTGTGAAATTAGGACAATGATGCCGACACCCTCCCTCCCCCCCTTTTGCAACAGTTTTCTCATCCTTGGCGGTTGCTACGGGTAACCAGGCAGACTCTCGAGGTTCTTTGATCAGTGTGGACTCCAACCCCAGTAACAGTGACAGGAACAGTGAGAAGATGGATGGATGCGAGAAGGTGAAAAAGGGAAAAAGATGATATGGGCATTATATTCACATCTATCTGATGACACAGGCCACATAATGTATGTCAGGGGGCAACGAGCAGATTTTTCTATGGACACTAAATCACGTGAATTAAATGTTAAATACTTGGCATCAACATTTGCGGTTAATCTTTAAAAACAATTTCAGCTCTATTCTGAGTGTCTTTTTCATGTTATAGTAACACAATAAAAGTCATCAACACCTCCAAAAAACCCACACAACACTTTTAAATGGATTTATTTTGTTAGGAATTACCTGTATGGACCAATATCCTGGAAATTTTACCATACAACATAAAATATATTTCGAAACCTTTTTCTCATCTTTATGGATTCAAATTTTGATTGGAAAATGCTGAAACCTCTATTTGCATAAGTTGTTTTGTTGCCAGGTGCCAGATCTTTTAATTCATGCACTCTACAAAGTTGACTGAATGTGGAAACCTAAACAAATGAACAATTCTATCTGCTATTACAATGAAATTGCTCATGTAAAAGTAAAAAAATAAATAAATAAATGAACTCATATGTGGACGTTTAGTTCAGGGTTGCTGATTTCTTCAGAACGTATATGAATAAATACTAAAGGCACAATTATTCCCAAACCCCTGAAGGTTTTCCTCTGACTGTTTTTCTGTCGGAATCTTTGTCCTTAGTTTGCCCGGCCCCAGTCCCTCATCGGCTATGGGTCTCGATGTGACAAGCTGGACCAGGCGGAGACCCGCAGCCTCCTCATGTGCTTTTTGCACATCATGAAAACCATATCTGAAGGTAAAAAAGTGCAATGTTACAGAGACAGATCATAAGAAATATTATCTGAACTGTTTCATACACTTCTGCTGTGTGAAAATGATGATTCTGTGAAAAGTTTCCAGTGTTATAGTGTATCGTTTTTGCCATCTGGTTCCAGATGTGTTAGTATCCTATTGGCATCGGGCCATACATCAGGAGATCTCAGACTTCTTTAACATCCTGGAGTAAGTGCTCTTATTTTTCTTTGTTAAAATAGCTCTGGCTGTCAGGCTGGTTAGTTGCAGCCTGACAGACGGAGGGAGAAATGAGACAGCTCAACAAGGGAACAGCCAAATAGGAAGAAAATGGAGTGTGTCCAGAAGGGAACAGATGAAAATAATGATACAGCAAGAGAAAGAGAAGAAAAACAGATTGTAATTCTTGCTGGAACTCCCTATCCACTGAGGAGTGCTTCAAATTAACTTTCTATGCTTCCTGTTTGTGTCTGCATCTCGACTGTTCTGCTGTTTTTCAGTTTGATTCATGCACATCATTTACCCAACCTTCTTATTTCAGAAAATGTACACAAACAAGGAAAACTATTTGATAAGATATTATTTCAAATCTCTTTTTTTTCTCAGGCTTTGTCTTCAGCACTTCAGGTTTCTTGGAAAACGCCATATAGCCAGGTAAGATGGTGCTCCCGCTGCCTTTTCCACCAAAACGATGCACCAGATGTTATTCATATGCATTTATTACAAAGCTGCACATATGGTAACAGCTTATTGAGTCAATATACATGCTGCAGCCAGAGGTTGGACACCCCCATCGACTGATACATAATTCACACCATCGTGCTTACACATGGGTGCACTCATGCAAATGCAGCCACACACAAATGTGTGAAAATCACACACAAATAAACGAATGAGAGGCAGTCAGGCAGAAATACTAATATGTGCTCTGTATGCATGTGCACACTTGGGGATGAGCTTCAAGAGGCGAGGAGGTATAGGGGAGAAGAAAAGGAAGAGGGGGAGGTGAAATTCCTGGATTTTTCTCTGAAGAAAGAATCACTGCTGGATATTGTACTGTACTTGTTGGCAAGCACTGGATGGGGGTTGATTGTGTTTATGTGTGTGCGCACATTCTTACTGGAGTAAAGCCAGTGGCATGGCTAGACTATTCCATCTACTGGTTCCTCCCAGCTAATTAAATTAGCTCTCCTTTTTTCCTCTCAGCGAAAGGATGCTGAGATGTAAGCCAACAAAAGGCTGAACGAAAACACTGCTTTTCTGTCTGTGGAGGCATTAACAGAATAAAGATAGCTGGAAGGCTGGCGAGGGCTCTCAGTTGTAGCTGAGCCTGTCTGGGGTTGCAAGCTACTTAACATTCGTCTGTAATACCAGCCCATGAGGGATTCACAGTCTTACGCCTGTGTCTGTCTCAGTGTCTAGCTCTTAACTTCCAGCTGAGTCACTGTGGGCATCTATTGAAGTTCAACAGTGATAAAATAAAAGCCATGTGCAGCAAGGAAGATACAGCCAGCTTAGTGTCATCAGTTCATCCTCTAAAACGTGTTTAAACCGAAAAAAAATGTTTCAAAGAATTTTAATCTGTGAAAGCTTTTTGGTTCACATGCCAGTTTCCAGTCTTCAAACACATGTAAGAGTATTGAGAGAACAAAAATCAATAACAAAAGTGTTCAAAATAATTAGATTTAGCAGTTCAGCACTGTCAAAACTTATTCTCAAACCTGGCGTTTAAGTATACTAATCCCGTTAAACCCGCACAATGTACACTGTTAACAGTCAGCTGTATTTTTTTCTCACTGTTATCTTGTAGCCTCCTTCACCGTGCATGCCTATTCCCCATTTGCATGATGCTGCTGTTAATACTATTGTGATAATAATTTTGATGTTTTGTTGCGTCCTGTAATCCTTTCATAAACAGATGTCTATTGCATGCACATTTTTTGTATCATTGGTGTGTGTGTTACAGTCCCCCTACTTTACGTTTGGGTGGACTCCAACAGAAACAGTTCTGTCTCCGTTCTTTTGTCTCATCACATCAACATTTGCTTTTCTTAGATTGGCAGCTATACCCAACTGGACTTAATTTAAGAAGCATATGAATATTAAATGTTGAGGATCTTATATTTGAGAAAGATAATACATCCTGCATAATCACATTGACATATTTTAACTCCCATGTTTCCCACTATTTTACATTAATGCTAACCTTCGGGGTGTTTTGGGTTTTTTTTCATCAAAGTTCCTCTAACAAGTAATAGAAAATGTATACAAAATTATATTAATCACAAACCAGGACTCTGTTTTGCCTCTAGCATTTCCATCTGGCTAGCTTTCCTCTCTATAAAGGCTGATTTTTATTTTTCTCTTATTCCAGCTGCTCTCATGCACCGAGGTCAGATTGAAAATCACATATGCTCTCTGTATTTAATTTGCCCTCACTGGAAAACAATGTAACAAGGCCTTGCTATAAATATGTAACGAGGCAACAAACTTAAAATACAATACTGCCCTGCAAAGGGATCATATTAAAACCTTTTATTGATTGTGGGCATACTCCAATGGATATGCCAGTTACACTTAAGATCCCTGACTTTTAACAAAGGACACTAAAACAATGATGGTCTTAACTAAACTAACTAATCCTAGCTCTGATGTGGTTGGCTTGTGAACAGGAAGCTAGCAGCGGCAGTAAAGCTGGCCCAGTCAACCCAGGCCAATGGCACCCTGAAGGGCTCTAACCACCCCTCCCAGTCCTCTCAACCCTCAAGCCTCTTCCCACAATGGTAATACCTTCCGCCTCAGCCATGATAAAAGACTTAAACTGAAAATACTCAGTCTTTAGTTATTACAATTGCTATTAATGCTAGTAATGTCTGGTGGTTATAGTAAAGGAACCTCCAGCCTTTCCAAACACAGGTGCAATCTACAACCAAATTTAAAAATATTTAGAGGTGGATCAATATGAGTTAATGTATTTTTATTGTCCGTATTTTCATTATCTATGTGACCACTGTGTTTCCATTCCCGAAACTTGTAACTGTGTTCTCAGCATGCACCTCCTCATACCTGCGGTGTTTGGTGTCCCTCTGTACTCTCACGAGTTATAGTGTGATCAAGTTGCTAGTGATGTGGCTGATGTCGGATGCTGATTCCTACTGTTGTCTCCAGGATGGCATCCGGAGGGGAAGGCCACCGACACGCCCGCTCCCAAACCATGCCCATCATCAGGGGCAAAAATGCCCTCACCAACCCTAAGCTGCTGCAGATGATGGAAACAGGTGCCACACGGAAACCCCGGGTTTCTTTTGATGGCTACTTTTGATGAACTGTGACTTATTCATACGTTATTCTGTTTCTAGATGGGAATATTCAGGATGGGGACACACTGAGTCCCACAGATATTGAGGCTAACTTGTCTACGGAGGTGGCACTCACTGTGCTGGATGTACTCGAACTTTTTGTTCATCACCATAAGGTCTGTCGATGTTTTATTTCGATTTACTTACAAACTAAACTATATTTGTTACAGTCAAAATGGTATCATTTAATTATTTTGTTGATATTTGTTTTTATTTAAGAAAGGTATGAGATAGATTCTGTGTAAAGCCGTTCCTCAAACCGTTTTGTACGATATGAATATTTGCGTTGAATGCAGTGCAAAATGTGGTGAGAATCATGTGACACTTAAAAGTATTCCAAGACAGACCTACCAATACTTGCCTGCCACCTGGTGGCAGAAACGTTATGTCGTACAAAAATGGTGCATTTAGAGGTGTAAAGCTTTCTTGGTAATCTGTATGTTTTTATTGAGACTGTGATAATGGAATCTGTGTTTCTTTCCCCCTCTATTATTCTTCCATATAGAAGCAACTGTTGCTGGATGACGGACAGAACACATTGATGAAGAAGGTGCTGGACACCTACTTGCTCTTCTTTCAGATCAACCAGTCAACAACTACTCTCCGGCATGTCTTTGCCACTCTCAGGCTATTTGTACAAAAGGTGCATAATATTGTGTTTAAGTCTGCACCCTCTAAGAGAACAGCGTGATTGCTTTTCTTACTTGAACTTTGATTTTCTTGTTTTTTTTTTGTAGTTTCCCAGTGCATTCTTCCAGGGTAAGGCAGACCTGTGTGGCTGTCTGTGCTATGAGATCCTCAAGTGCTGTAACCATCGATCCAGCTCCACTCAGACGGAGGCAGCTGCCCTGCTGTATTTTTTCATGAGGCAAAACTTTGAGTTTACAAAGGGCAAATCCATAGTTCGCTCACATCTGCAGGTTAGTAACGCCGCTGTGCAGTAGTGCAAGGCTGCATGATGATGACCTCTTGATTGTGTTCTAAGTCAATCATGGATACACTCTGATCCTTCACTGTCCTTCTTATTGCAGGTTATCAAAGCAGTAAGCCAGCTGATAGCGGATGCTGGGATTGGAGGTTCTAGGTTTCAACAGTCCTTGGCCATCATCAACAACTTTGCCAATGGAGATGCACGACTCAAGGTGCAGCTTCTTCTCTTGTTTTACTAAAGGTTTCCTTTATTTTAGTGTGCTTCAACTGTAAATAGTGAATGTCCTTCGCATGTTTTCTGCAGAGCACTCCATTTCCTGCTGAGGTAAAGGACCTGACCAAAAGGATCCGGACGGTCCTGATGGCCACAGCCCAAATGAAAGAGCATGAGAAAGATCCAGAGATGCTGGTGGATCTACAGTACAGTCTGGCCAACTCCTACGCTAGCACACCCGAGCTGCGACGCACCTGGCTGGAGAGCATGGCCAAGGTTCATGTTCGCAACGGTGACCTATCAGAGGTGCTTCACGATTTATTCTTTTGCTCTTACTTCAGAAAACCTCTCTAACGTCAGTAGTGAAAAATTCTGATCATGCATCTTTTCTTTAGGCTGCCATGTGCTATATCCACATCTCTGCCTTGATTGCTGAATCCCTGAAGAGGAGAGGTTAGTCCATACTGTCCGCTGCTTATGCAAAGCAAGCCTTTTTCTGCATGGTTTGTTTCTTTGTGTATGCACAAAAGCCCGTGTATATATGTAAAAGCTGTGCATCTCTGTAGACATAACCGTAGTTAGACCAAACACATCTTTCTTTTGTCAAACAGAAGAACATCTTTCATTCCTAACATACACATTGCAAATGCCGTGCCTCTGACATTCAAACAATCATGGCAGCAGGTGAAAATCATTTAAGAACTCACATGGAATACAGATGAATTCCCATTTCATCAGATAGAAACATGCAGTAGGTCTGTACTTGCTTCTCAGTGTCTACTAGAGAAACAGAAAGATGTCTGTTGTTGCTCCTCTGTGCTGCATGTCTGTTTATTCATATGCATGCACATCACCTTGTTACAGCATGCGCCTATGTTCTGCCGTATGTCCATGGCAGCCTTTTGCATGTGAGCTAGCATTGAGCTAGCATAGTGTGTCAAGAGCGTTGCCGATTTGTGAGCCTTTTCCTCCAACGAAAGACGGAAAACAAAATCATGAATGGTACAACTAGTAAACCTGCTGCTCCTCCTCCCCTCCTACCAAACAGGCTATTGGAGAACTGACAAGGCCAGGATGTCCAGTGTGTCCCCTGAAGAAAGCCCTGTCTTTAAATGTAGCTCCTTACTAACAACCTCCCGAGATCAAGACAGTGAGTGTGTGCGCCTGGGGTTTGATGGGTGGAAATGAAATCCTGGTTATGAAAAAGGACCTTTGGGGTAAAATGGCTATTCGGTGCTGGTTCACATTTTAACCACCTGTCTGCTGGACACTGGGCACCTTGTTTAGTTGTGATTGAGGAACAGTCTTTTAGTCTTGAGTACATGAGCGTGCTTGAGGTTCATCTATACCTTCCCTGCCTGACTGTTGTTGTTTACACAAGACTCACTGGATAAGACACTGAATGTCACTGGCATTTGGTATAAAGCCAACGCACATGTGATCCTTTTACTTTTGTCCAATACTGGAAAAAATTGAATGTTTTAATGTGTAAAACGCCTTTCATTTACACAAAAATACTTTTTGCATTAGTGCATCATTGGCCATGATGTGGGCTGTTTGTGAGAAGATTAGACTCATATTCTTTAAACGACATGCCCTGAAATTAATTTACCTTGTTTCAAACCCCAGCATCTTTCTCCATGGGCTGGGCAGCATTCATGTGTATCAGCCCTAATGTTAAGGAGGAGGGAGCCATGAAGGAGGACACTGGCACACAAGACACACCGTACACTGAGGTCAGTGTAAGCTTCTCCTCCGGAAAAGTCAGAAACTTGGCAGGATTTAAACTGGATTTTAAATTAGAATAGGCAAAGCACAGAGACTAATGTATCTCTCTTTAATGTGAAGGACACACTGGTGGAGCAGCTGGAGCTGTGTGTGGACTATCTGTGGAAATCGGAGAGATACGAACTCATTGCAGACATCAACAAGCCTGTAATTGCTGTATTTGAGAAAAGGAGGGATTTTAAGGTAACTGTCGTCCTGCTTTTCTTACTTATTTGTGTTTGTTATGAGTTGAACTTACCTTTTATTGTACACCCACAGAGGCTGTCCGAGCTGTACTATGACATCCATCGCTCCTATCTAAAGGTTACGGAGGTGGTTAACTCAGAAAAGCGTCTTTTTGGTCGATACTACCGTGTAGCTTTCTATGGACAGGTGAGCAAAAGTGTATGACATGAAATAACCCACACACTCCTCTAGATCAATAAAAGTATCCATGTGAATGAAAATACAGAAACGACTAATATCATACTTCATATTTTCAGTTTTTCAGTAGTTACTTTTTCTTTTAGTTTTTTAATGAGGCAGCAATTTTCCTGTGCAGACATCTCAAGATCCTGAATATTAAGAATGGGTCTGTAAAGCTCATTATGAGTCAGTGTCCTTAATTTCTCTGTTTGCTCTCTTCCTTTTTGTTATATTCTATATCAAGATTGCGGTAAGTTCTGGATGCCTCTTGATTTCAGTGTTCTCAGTTCTAACAACTTTTACCTCGCTTTTCCTTTTACCTCTATTAACATTTGCAGCTCTTACCCTTTGAGGTTTTTGTGTGAAGCTTGCTGTGGTCCATTTTACTTTCCATAATGCCCCATGGTGAGGTTTGACTATGCTAAACAAAAAGAAAACTTTATGCCAGATCCTCCACATTGGTGATGAAGATACAATTTGATATACCTCATCCACCTGACCTTTGACTCCGGTGTTTCTTTAAAAAAAGAACTATACACTCTCTCATTCAAAACTTAACCGTGACACACTGTTGGCGCTGAGTGAGGCTCTCTAACAAAGTGACAAAATTCTTTATCGTATGAATGTTTACAAGTGACCAGAACGTGGCAACACAGAGCCAGAATGACTAAAGCAACAAACTGTGCTCACACAGATACCAAGCAGAATGTTTCGAGGGGCTTTAGTGATTGATATGTGGCTGCCTGTGTGTTTTTCTTAGGGCTTCTTTGAGGAAGAGGAGAGCAAAGAGTTCATCTACAAAGAACCAAAACTGACAGGTCTTTCTGAAATCTCCCAGAGATTACTCAAACTCTACTCAGACAAGTTTGGAGCTGATAATGTCAAAATGATTCAGGACTCCAATAAGGTGATTGACAACAAATTATGAGTTGGCTGGCTGTTATTATCAATGTTCTATATATGTTTTTCAGATATTCTTCTTAACATACATTTATTATTTTTTTAATAAAGGTGAATCCTAAAGACCTGGATCCCAAGTTTGCCTACATCCAGGTGACATATGTGGTGCCCTTCTTTGATGAGAAAGAGCAACATGACAAAAGGACAGATTTTGAGAGACATCACAACATCAATCGCTTTGTGTTTGAGACACCATTCACTCTGTCAGGAAAGAAGCATGGAGACGTGGAGGAGCAATGCAAGAGGCGCACCATACTGACCAGTCAGTATTTTTTTTTATTCTATCACACACAACTGATGAGCTCCTCAAAGAACAGTACAACTTCAAGAGTTAGTTTATGACTCAAAATGATGTCATGGTGACATAAATAATAACATGGTGAACTACGTTTACTGTATTAAAGTTAATTACCAGACGAGATCAGCAATACTAATAATAATATGCATGAAAAGTGCTATAACGTCTGACTTGATTTGATTAGGAGTATAGGAGATGACTACATAATTCCTTGAGGGAAAACACACTCCTCGGGAAGGAGGTGTATCATTGTTAAAGTCCCCAAGTTCCAGATTTTGAGTGCATGAGGTTTACGTCATAATGCAGAGAGGACTAATTAGACTGTATTCAAAAAACAAATTCCAAATTTATGCAACATGAAAGGAAATAATGAAAAAGAGTACGGTGAACTAAAATAAGTACTAAAAAAATAAGTACATCCAAAGTATGTATTGTTTATGACTTCAGATATTGTTGACCCAATTGAATGGAAGGAATAGAATATCACCACTGGTGCGAGATAGTTTTGTAAAACAGTCAAAAACTATTAAATGGAAATAAAAGTTCCTTACATTTTTTGTAAAATAAAGAGACTTAATATTGAACCTAAAGTTCAACTTTCACTTCAGTTACATCTTATTGCTTCACTTCAAATGCATTATGGTGACCTTTGCCAGATAAATAAAAAATCATGACAGTTAGCTTGATTACAACTGGAATCTGTAAAAAAGTCATTTTTCTGACCAGTTGATCCTTGTTTTTCCTACCTCAGCAAGTTCCAGCTTCCCATATCTAAAAAAGCGCATTCAGGTGGTGGAGCAGCAAAGCACAGAAATGAATCCGATTGAAGTAGCCATCGATGAGATGTCACGTAAAGTCTCTGAGCTCAACCAACTCTGCAACATGGAGGAGGTGGACATGATCCGGCTGCAGCTGAAACTGCAGGGCAGTGTCAGTGTCAAGGTTGGGAGTCTTATAAAATACAGATGCACGCATTTGACTTTTGATTGGGTTGTTTTGCATAACCTGATCGTCCCCCTCCAGGTGAATGCAGGGCCTATGGCTTATGCCAGGGCATTTCTGGAGGAGAAGAATGCAAAGAAGTACCCAGACAACCAGGTCAAGCTTCTCAAGGAAATATTTAGGTAGGACGTTCCTGCATAGCTCAGTACAAAGCTCGTGGATTTTGCTTATAGCATTAAATAGTAGGACAATATTTTCTGTCAATGTTGGAATCATCATCATTATACACAACAATGGAAGGTAGTTATACTCACCTAAATATAAGATAAATGTACTACAGGTTGTTTGATTTTTTTTCATAGTGATGCATTTCATCCCTCCAGATCATTTTGATTAAACACAATGGTTCTAATTTTCTGTTACCAGCAAATAACTTTAAGTTCATGTTGATGTGCCCTCTGCAGGCAGTTTGCAGAAGCTTGTGGTCAAGCTTTAGATGTGAATGAGCGTCTCATCAAGGAGGACCAGCTGGAATACCAGGAGGAGATGAGAGCTCACTACCGGGACATGCTCATTGAGCTGTCTGGCATCATGAATGAACAGGTTTCACAATTCAATGACCAATAAATACCCAGGCTTCATCATTATATGTTGGCTTTTTTTGTTACTTTTGCCATTCAGATGCATTGCATGCCCACATTATCATTTCTATATATTATAATATATGACATTCTGCATTTTCATGGGTCTCATGAGTGTCTATGACAGTTGCATATTTTTTGTTCTGCTTTTCCAACCCTTTCTCTCATTGCAGCTTGAAAAATATGTTCTTGCCTTCAGTACCTCTATGTCTAACAACTCTCTGTCCACTCTTTCTAATACCGGTATGTCATGTCACAAAGTTCCTTTATAAGAGACATCGCCTTGCTTCTTGCTTACCACACATTCTCTTTCCTTAACATGTTTTCCTTTTTTGGGGGGGTAAAAGTGCTCTTCTTGAAATATGCTTTCTTTTGTATTTTCCTTTTCCAACCCCTGATTTGTTGTCCTTGCATTTGTCCAGATTCCTCACACAAGACAACCAGGAACGGAGCGGCACAGCACCTACTGAACGGCTACTAGACTCACCAGACTTTTCTGTGCCAGTTTGAGCTCTAAAGGGGCTCCTTTGTTTGTTTCTGATTGTAGGGTGTTTTTTTTTCTTCATTTCTTTCCCCTGCTACGTGAAGTGGTGGGTTAGTGGAACTGTGACTGATTGCGCGTGTAAAGAAATAAGGGAAAAAGTGTGTAGACTGTGGTTGTAGTAGTCTGTAGTCCTAATGCAATATCAAGACAGAACGCATAATATTTGTAATTGTCCATCTTGGAAAAACGTGGCAGTTTCATAAAAAAAAGAGAAAAAGATCTGTACCATAAGATTGCTTTCACTATCATCCGTGAATTCATCATTTTACATTGCTGTCACTCACAAAAAATTATGGCTATGATGAATGTGCATCGTGATGTTTACATATTACACAATTATGTTATGAGGTAAAATGCACGTGGTTAGTGTTTACATATTTTGAAGTTCAGAGATTGTGGTGTAGTGTAATCTCATGTGGGCACTCTTCATAGAACAGCCTGCAGATTTTCAACCATGGCTGTTGACACTGCTACGTTTTTGGAAAATGGACAAATGCATCTATTACACTTCTTGAGACTAAGCTGGTAGTCCTGTTATTGTCTGCAATAGAGACCAGGCTGCTGGACTGTTAGATGCTTTTTGATTTCATTTTAGAGTCTCATGTGTTTCAGGCCTACATTCCACTGTCCTATAAACGGATTCATTTATTTACACACAGACAGACACATTTCAAACAAACATGTTCGGTGCATTTGTTGTTGCACAGAAAAAACAACTTGCGCCTTCTCTCCATAACCCTGACCCTTTAGAGAACAGTGACCTTAACGATCTTGAGGTGCATTCAGCTGTACACGTAATGCATACATTTTTGGTGCATTTTCATAAAAGTTTATACTTCTTTCTGTGGAAAATCAGTGTATGTCATACTGTCCACACGTGTCACAGGAAAACTAATGTGAAAAATAGGATTTCAATACAGGTCTTAAAAATCCAAGGCGTTGAACGCACCTCCAGTTCTTGTTTGAATGTAGAACAACTCCTCATTGCTACTTTGTATCCTTGCTAACATTCTGGAAATATCACCTTACAGATTTTCAAACAGAAACAAAAAATATGTTTTGTAACATTTTTATAATTGAAATTGCATTGTTACTGTTATTATTTCCTGTATGGTTTTGAATTGTAAATAAGAAGTATTAATATTTAAAAATGTTTGAAATGTTTCTTTTTTTTATAAAATATACAATATATAAATATTTGTTTAGCTGAAAAAAACAAGCAAACAAACAAACATAAACTAAAGTTTTATGTATAACAATTTAAATAAAAATTTGTTAATGTGCAAAAGTCAGGATTTCTTTTCTGTTTTTTACTGTAAGACAGTAATGACAAGTCTGTGTCGCAACACATATAGCTGAATATTATTGTTAAAATATACATTGACTACATTATCAAGGTTGTTATGGTGACATCTTAGTCAAACACATAATTTACGAAACTATTTTCAAATAATTCTTTTGCGTTAAACTCCACCTACTACATTCATAAACCTAACTGCTGTCTGTGATAAAATTGAGTAGCACATGTCCACATAAAACTGTTTTTTGATGTCTAGGTGTGTGCTAAAGACTATTGAGGAATACGGCATGCACATGTTGTGCTCTGAACATCCTGGTCTCGGTATGTTACAGTATCTGGGTTAATAATAATAATCCTTTCACTCATTGCACCGAAAAATGAACCCTTTTGGTTTGGACTGAGATTTTATAAAAGATACCTTCAGAACGCATATGAGCATCTGCAAGATATACTTTTTTTAGTCTCTCTCTCTGTCACAAGTGTGTAATGACAATTTTAAAAACATTACAGGATTTTTTTTAACCAGAAATAAGTTTTTAAAAGAATGGCTGAGAGTGTATTCCAAAAGCAGCGATCTTTTCTTTACAAAGTTCGGCTTCATGTTAACTGAAGTTATGCAAAAAAATACTCAAAACATACTCGTATGCCATGTGATAAGTGGCAGAATTACTAAATGACACAGTTTTTGGCATGTTGAAGACCAAGAGCAATTAAGCTGCACTTTCACTGAAAGTAAAATGGCATTCAAATTAAGTGTAGGCCCAGACAAAGTTTCCTTGGGATCTAATGTCAGTTTTTTTCGTCCAATTGTTTGGTATAATTACTGACCATGCAGGGTGAAAGAACAGCTGAGTGCTTGTTTACTTATTGATGCTAAGCCAGCAACTAGGACACAGCACAGAAAACAAGAGGTTAAGTGGCCCTGAACTTACAGCGGGTGGTAAAAGACAGCATGTGGTCCTTCAACTCTTTAACTCAGTTTCTGTCCCTGCCTGACAAAATTATGGTGGTTGACACGTTTATATTTCTGTCTCAACACTCGCTCTGTTGCACACCAGAGGTGATGTAGATAGAGTTACACAGACCTTCTACGAAATATCTCCCTCACAAACTTATTGTCCTTCCAGCCAATCACTATGTCTCTCTTCCTATATCTCATCTTTCTGGCCTCCTGACTGCTCTATAGCCTATTTTGTGAACCAGAAATGAAAGGCTGATAGGGTTTCTCTTCTTTACAGGTTGGTTCACGTGTATCTGTCTCCCTCCTTGGCCTAGCTGGGTCAGGTTCCTCTCTGCCAGCACCATTCAGTCCCATTTACATTCAATAAAATCAGGTCATATGGTGGACTCTGGGCATCAAACCTAATTTTAAATGCTATTAGTTAATATTGATGTCAGTCCAGGTATAGCCTTAACCATGGTGGGTCAAGACCCCTCCTGATAATATTTAAATTTAGTTTGGTATTGCTTTGAAAGACCTTCTGCCTTGCTTCATGTTGGAGTTGGGCCAGCAAAGTTCAAGTAGTGTGTGGTCCTTTTATAAAGGGTTTACTACTATTCACAAAGGTCATTATGATATCACCTGACCATTAATTCTGACAAGTCCCCCTGAGTGTAATTTTCTTTAATATCCTCTTCGGCGTGCTGTCCACTTCTGTTTGATGTTTGTTTGCCATGAATCCTTTTTTGTCATTTTTCATTGTCATACTGCTCAGTGCATTTTCCCTTTAGGACTGCCCAAAAGTGCTTGTTCGGCCTCTTATTTCCACCTATATCAGCACAGATTTAAGAATGTTTTAAATTCTAAAAGAAATGCATCCAGGATACTTCTTGAAAATAATTTGGTCTCTTCTTAAATACTCAGATACTCTTAAATAGTCAGATAGTTTAGTCGTCAACAATATGAGTAAATAATGTCTCCTAAGGTACTTTCAAGACTTATGCACCGTTCATGGCCAATTATTAACTTATTAACTTTAAAACCAATACAGAAATCTTTCTGTAATGGGAAAAGATGTTTAAAGTTTTTACATAGCTGAGTCAGAGAAATATCAAACAATTTCAGATCATCTGGTTTGGTTTTACTATTTCAGCTATATGGGAACTCTTTTATAGTGCACATTTAATTTCCGAGCCCAGCTTAGCTTTCCTGCAACTGGACTCCCAGGGTTGATTAATAAAACATCCGCTGTGTGCCTCTGGCTGATCACCAGAGCCCTTTCAGCTGTTTAAGTGGTGAAAGGCGACATAATCTCCTCACAAGAAGAACTAGACTGAGATTGTGAGACGCAGGAGAAAAAAAAAACTAGAAAGGCGCACAAAAGGAGGACAGCAGAAGTCTTGGGAGCAGCATGTTAAAACCCCAGCAACACAGTGACTTTGTCATGAGCAACTTCCCTCCTGTTTTTGGGAAGCCGTGGTTCTGGCAGCGCAACAGCAGCTCCATGGAGGGGACGCGCAGCCTGGCGCAGGTCATCATGGAGATGCGCGACGAGATCAAGAAGCTGGAGGCCGAGAACCGGGAGCTGCGTGGAGACCAGGGCCATGGTTCAGTGGGAATCACGCCAGAAGAACCCGGTGCGAGTGAGCAGGAGGAAACGGTGGAGAACCCTTACGTGAACCTGAGACGAAACGCGTCTGCGCCGGTCCTGGAGCGACAATACAAAGGTAAGAGATGCATGTTCAATTCTAATCCAATATAATCCCAATGATCATTGTAGGATAACTTCTTTAAGGCAAACTGATAAATAATCACAGACCCATGGAACTTTTATATTGTACTGCGTTTAACTTAACCAGGAAGAAAAATTAGTGAGTGGCAAAAGATTTATGGGCAGAAAATCTATATGTTAAGATATGAGATGTGAATGGCCCAAAACAGCCCAGCCTCGTTCTTTCCTATTTTGAATCCCTATCCCGGTGTTCATATTCACAGACAACATGGTCATGACTGTCCGAAGGTACTCTACAAGCGCCAACCTGGAAAATGCAAAGTCTAGTAACTCTGGATGGGGGAGACTGCAGGAGGAAATCCAGCATGGGAATGAAATATCAGCAAAACAAGAAGTGGAGAAAGTCACCAACCGACACTCTCTGCAGGAATGTGTGCATAAAAACAGGTACAGAGAAAGTAAGTTTGTAAAGACATAGTATGTCATGAGGGGTAAGTTTTTTAAAAATGTCATTAAAAAATGATAAAATGAATGAATAATTAATTTAGTCTGCAAAGATAACCTTCAGTAAAGGCAACCACGAACGTGTTTTTGGCATTTCCTCTGTCACCGTGCTGCTACAATGTAACCAAATCATTGTTGTTATTTGACTTTTCAGGGCCAAAGTGAAAACTGTCACCTTCCTTCTACCTGTTGATGATATTTACACCAGCCGGCCCGTTCTGACCAAACACTTGGAGGAACCCAAACTCACTGGTCTGGCTTCCATAGCCGATGCCGACTCCTGAGGGAAGAATTTCCAGACTTTGGATGCGAAAAAATGGAACGCGATGCAGACAAAACCGAAACTCTGCAACTGGAGCCAAGTGAGCTGCCTTATTTAGGTCAATCTAGATTGGACTCTTAATGAGTAAGCCAGTAGACTGATTTGTATCACACCTGACCGCAAAAACAGAATACTCTAGTTACACGTGTTGTTTTCATTGGCAATGGCTATCCAGGCCCGGGCAGCAGTGATGAGACACAGGCCCCTCTGCAGAGAGGATCATGTATCGGAACACCTTTCCCAACCTGAGCTGCTCACGGTGACACACATACCTGCAGGTGACAGCCCTTCCACGGACAGTTGTGGTCGCTGACTCAGGCCTCGTGAGCAACGTCGCATCCATCAATTATACATAGTTGTTCCTCTTTCCAGTGAAACGGATGGACGCGAGGTCATGTGATGTGACCTGTTTATTAACAATGCCCCTAAAGACTTTTTTTTCCACAAACACTATGGCGTAGTCTGCTTGAAAGCGTTATACATTGTTTTAAATATGGTGGTCCATGCCATATTCAAATATCTTAAGTTAAACCTGCATCATTATTATTTTCTCCATTTTTAAAAAGCTTGTTGTTGCTATTAAGTTTCCGTGGAATTAAGAGCCCTGTCAAAATAACGCGTATACTTTAAAATGAAATAAGTGAATATTAATTTGTTATGTAGACATACATTTAAACTTAGATGCAAAGACTTGACAATTGATAAAAATGTTTTGGTTACGTATCCTAAAACTTTTACCTTTTTGTCAAATATTACATGCAAAGGAAAAACTAAGCAAAAGCGCTTGAGGTCTGCTTTGGGTTACGGGCTATAATGCATTCACACAAAGCACAAGAATTGGCTAAAATCTGGGCCAAAAGATTCCAACTTTCTCAAGTTCATGCACCATTACGTGCATAAAATGTTCTGCTGGAAGTCTTTTGCACAACTATGAGAGGTCTCTTCAGCCACAATTCAATCTTGGTGTTACATGTAATATCATACTCACTCTCACACACACACACCATCATTCTCTCTCACACACACCATTCAACACTGAGGGTATCTGTCTGGGTTGCTCTCTTCTCTTTCCTGGTCCTGCTCTAACTGCTCTGTCACATGTCCCTGTAGAGGCCTGGCTCTCAGTCAGTTCTACTGTATTTAACACTCCTCTTCCTCCTGCCCATCCAGAGGTGTGTCTGACAGACTGGAATTATTTGCTCTTTTGCATCAGAATCATTGGCATCCCTCCTCTAACTGCCTGATGAGCTCTTCCCAATCTTGAAAAGTTGTAAAAATGACATAATAAATCCATGAACCAGTAAAGCTGACAACTTCTTTCATGGCTCCTGAATAATTCCGTCTGTTGGTGGACAGCACGCAACAAATGATAATTTTTTTCATATCCATCAGTTTAAAAACTGGTTACTTTTTTTGTATTCAGCCATTTATAGCCCACCACCACTCACTCTTATTTCTTATCCAGGCAAAGACAGGTCTGAAAAAAAAGTAGGAGAATATCCTTTTCTTGATAGGGCATTTATTATGAAGGTAGAAATCCTTAACATTATTTCCAAAGGTTGTTGGGGACATTCTTTGTCAATTAACCAGATATAAAAATGTGTCATTAGAAGAATGGACATTTGCTGCAAATAAATGGACACAGGTGTGATTACAACAGTAGCTTGTTTTCCTGGAATGTTTTTTCATCATACACGTCAAAAAAGTTGAAAAAGCAATCAAAACAGTTCTATAAAGGTCCACCAATAAAGCACCATTTTTCTACTCGTCATTATACTCTTGGGAAAATAGTTAGCAGTTTGCTCCATCCACACACAGCACACATGAGAAATATGACAAATACCACTGAGATTTCAATGAAATCAGCTATCAGGTCGTCACTTGGTGACACTGCTGATCAGTGAGTAAAAGCAAGAACTGGACCAAAGAAGCCCAAATATGCACACCAAGTTTGTCTCTTAGAGGAGAAACCGTTAAAATATAAAAATCTAAAGTAATTTAACGGACTACTTTTCTCCAGTTTTTATCATTTAGGGCAATAATCCATCCGAATGGTTGAGTTACAGCAGTATTCACACAAAGACAACCTGACACTAAGTGTTTCGTTTTTCAGCCCTGTTGCAAAAACACACAAATACAGCACATTTTGTTTCATCGGTCAGTCCAGTACACTGCTAAACAGGGTCAACAGTCAAAATCTAGGTTTTCTCAGACCTCATTTTAGCCACTTTGTTAGTCAATAATTCCATATTAACTAACCTTTTAACAGAGCCAACGATTTAGAATGGTGTTCAAACACTATGAGGGAAAATAAATAGGGGTCACAAAACTGTCAGCATTAATATTCAATCCTTTATCAAAAAATCGGGAATGGAGACTTATTAAGTGCCGGATGACTGTTTTGTTTTGCTTTATAACCAATAAGCTTACCATTAACTAAAGAAATAATACCACAGCAACCAAGAAACAAAAAGAAAGAAAAAAATAACTTCTGTTTTATTGAGGAAATGACAATACTATTTTCCCATGTTTTTTGTTTTATCTTTAAAAGCATGTGGGATCTAGAAGCAACATGCAACTAGAATTGGATGCCCTCTGCTGGTAAAAAAAAAGAAGTGGAAAAAATTTAATAAATGAGATGAAAGAGACACTATCAGAAACATGGGACATCATTCATTTTCCATACCTTCTTTATCCTCCATCTGTGCTGGTGCTATCACACCCTGCACGACCCATATTATTTTGAAACAACTTCATCGTTGTTCAAGAGACCATTCAAAAAAAGTAATACATGGTAAGATCTCTTAAACTTGCACAATTGAAGTGGCTCTACCATGTTCGTGTGGTGTTTTCGAGTCTGTAGTTGTGTTGATGGTAAGATAATGGACAGAGGTAGGTAGAAGGATAGCACCAGAAGAAGTAAAAAGTTGTGCATTTTTTATGCCCTGGTGAGTTTCAGGTCCGAAGTGAGGCCTGCAGAGCTTTCATGTCTCTCAGGAGCCTCAGATTCTTCTTGCTTCTCTCTCCTGGTTGTGCTTTCACTGTTCTCACAGAGAACCCCCTGGTGGGAACCCTCCCACGGTTCTGCCGAGAACTAGCTTCCCTTCTTAACTTTTTGATCTATCGGGTGACAATAAAAAAAAAAGAAAAGGAAATCCAAATGGGAAAAAAAATTCTGAAACCTGAGGTGATGTTTTCTATAGAACCATACCTGTGATCTGTGTTTGTAGAGCTTGCTGATTTGTTCTCCTTTTCTCTCCATTTTCAGTAGCAGCCTCTCTTGCTCCCTCTGCAGCTCTTTTCTTTCCTCTTCAGACACGCTGTCCTCCACTTGCCTCATTAGCTCACCATGCTCACTGAAACAGGAACAAAGGGAAAAACTAAACACTGTTCCGGAACACAAGTCTAAGTCCAATGTGAAGAACTGACTCACATGCTCATAAGTTGCAGCTCCTCCTGCAGGGTGTGCAGTAGTTCTGATAGTTCCTCTTCGCTAGCTGATGAGGACGAACTGTCAGAAGCCCACCGCTGGGTTCCTGTCTCAGAGTGGCTTGCGTGGCGAGACACTACGCGGCTGTTGCAGAGGTGTGGCTGGTGTCTCTTCAGGAGGGACAGCACTGCCTGGACGTTGGCTCTTACCGAGTGGCTGCAGCCGACTGACTGAAACCGGGTAGAAAAAGGAGAGTTGAAGTGAGGAGGGGCACATGGACCACTGCAGCCCTACGCTACCACCAGAAATGCCCTCAATACCGTTCCAGCTACAAAAGGCACATCTCTGAGGCTCAGTCTGTAGTGTGGCTCTGCGTGGGACATCTGCTGCTGTGGGGATTTCTGGGGAGTCAAAAATTAACACATCAGCAATCGTTGATCCACAAAGTTTTTAACGGAAAATGGCAAGTATGCCTTCAGCTTAATGTTGGGTTTAATACTTAATAAATGAAAAAATACCACTTTTTAAAGCTATTATTTAGAAACGAGATTTGGAAAAGTTAAGTTTGATATATTTCAGTATATTCATATATCTCCTTATCCTAATGAAAATACTGACATTTGAAGAAACTTAAGGTTTACAGCAGCTTGATCAACAGTCTAAATTACTAGTTATCTGCTGTTTGAAGATTGTTACCTTAGATGCTAATTTCTTCTCTGAAGATTGTTTTGTGGGCAGTTGAGGTGACACTGACCGCAGCAGGATCCTATTAGCCTCCAGACCTGTCTGCAGCTGACAGGTGGGGGGAAAAAAACGGGGTGAACACGAATCAATCTCTTCTCAAATACTTATATCACGGTAAACCAACAGTTACGAGTACATGGAAGACAACTGTTCATAAACCGGAACACAATCATGGCTTGCTACCTGGTTGGCCTTATCCTGTATGAGCTTCCTCTGGTGCTCCTCTTCCTGTAACTTCCTCTCCAATTCATGAATCTTAGTCTGTGAGATCCAGAGACACAGTCACTACGTTGATAATAAAATGAATAATCCCCAAAAATATCTGTTTTTTGTCACTGTGTAGCCAGGATTGAGATATGGTGTCGTTTTTTACTAATAATTTTACATGCCCGGAATATTGTTATAGCTTCTGCTATGATACATTTAGTATACCTCTGCATTTTTCTGCTTGTGCGTCAACCGAAGATATTCCTGCTCAAGTTTTTCCAGCTTTTCCATCTGGGCATGCTCAGACACCGTTTCACACTGTTGGTTCTCTGTGGAAACCTAGATAAACAGGGGAAAAAATCTATACTCGTCCACTCACATGAACTACATCTTCATGTATTTCTAGGCCAACAGTCTTTTATAAGACCACCTTTGAAATGGATTTTACCTGCTGATGGAGCAGACTGGTCCTGTCTGTGCTTGCACTACGCAGCATCCTCCTCATGTGGTCCAGCTGTCGTTCTAGCTTTGCACAGCGAGATTCTGCAGCAGCAAGGTGGGTGATCAACACTGTGTATAAAGTGAAGGTGCACCATTAGATACAAAACCATACATTTGCAAAGATAATCATGGCAAGGTATTTCTTAGTGAAGTGCCCACCTTGGTTGCAGTTGGACTGGCCACTTGTCTCTCTTTCTGCGTCAGTCTGATCATTGAAGGTTCTCCGAGTATCTCTTTCTCTTTGCAGAAGTGTGTGTGATGCATTTTTCCCTAAAGATCGCAAACTGAGCTCTGCTTGTCCTTTCTCTAACTCCAACTTCCTTATTTTTTCCTGAAGGTTCCTCAAGGCAGATAAGATTGCTGTGTGTGCACACAAAGAAATGGCATGAGCACATGTACTTATTCATCACGTATCTTAATGTTGGCCATATATTCATACATTCACCACACACAGAATGACACATTTCAAACATATTTGAGGAGAGGTTGTAGGGATTGAATTACATGGGGGTTTTCAGGCTTGATTGAAATAGGAAACAATTAGGACAGGGGCTTAGAGCAGATAGCTGGAGGAATGAATTAAGGTTGGTGTGGCGGAGACATTCAAGAAGCATGGCATCATGTTCCACGTGTAACCATGGAGCTCCCACACACAGCAATGTTTAGTGGAAACTTTGTGGCAAAAAACACACAAAGCATTACACACACACACACAGATATCAACCTGCACTGCTGGTCTCTGGGAAGGCTTTAATGGGTGATGATGGACGACATGAATATTGAGTTCGTCTTTGGGGTGTATGATGCATAAGTGTGTTGATAAAGGGCCGATGAGAAGGATAGTCTTTGTAAGATGGCAGTGACAGGCTGTCAGACACTACTCCACAGCTTAGTGGAGGTGGACGCGACTCCTGCAGAGAAATAAGATTGTAAGAAACACTGAATTCAGCCAACAGGAGATATTCACGCCACATCTATAAGATACACACACTGTGAGCCGTTTTATCATAACCAACAAACTGAATATTACATTAAAGAAGGAGGAAGAAATATGATATCGTAGTTCAAAGCTGTTTTACAGTTTACTTAGAGGTCTGCAGCTTCAGCTGCTCTGAGTTGTAGCAACTGCTGCTATGTAGCACTCTCAACTTAACGAATGGCAAACAAATAAACACATACTTTATTTTCAGTTTTCTATCAAGATGACAGAGGCAAAATCTTATAGTTCTACCTTTTCCCGCGTAGATTCAGCTGTGGGTGTTTTTGAGACAGCCTCCATCGTACATAGCCAGTCTGCCTTGCTTGTGCTTAAAACAAGAAGTAACTATGGATATTTTCCTAAAGTTATCCTAATGTTTACTCTACAACGCCATTTTTGATGAGGACAAATAATTCCCAAGCTAAGCGCTGCGTCAACAGCAACCCACCCAGTGTAAATAACTACAAGGTTGTGCAGAAAGGGTATTACTTAGCGAGTCACCCGTAGTTTCGTCGATATGAGATTGATACTCGCTCCGGCTCGAACCGTTAGACGATTTGCGGATGAAGTTTAACGTGGCAATTGAGAGTTGGCCATAACGGTGGTACAAGGTGAACAAAACAAACGAACCCGCTTTGGTCAGCGGAAATGTAGTCTTTCCTAGCCACGGTACTGACACTTTGAATGGCGATTAGTTGGAAAAGAACTACAATATCATAGAATCACCAACAGCGGAGGGATTTTGCTTTGCAAGAGTTGCCGGGAGTTTTATGCTAAGTCAAGATATGGAGGGACTTCATAGGAGGTGGGAGGCATGGCATGTTTTGCCTGCATCACAAGCGTTTGGTATACATTTCGGGTTTACAAAAGTTGTTTAGCTGTTGTGATAATGGTCCATTCTCAGCACGAACTATATATTCTAAAGTTCAGTTCGTATTAACATTTCAATATTTGCTAGCTTTTTGTCTCGATAGTAAATTACCTTTCAGTTCCTTGTTACTATTAGCTGTAGCTGCTATTTAACGAAACAAATACAAGTTAACTAGCTCAAAGATAACTTAATAATGCATTTAAAACATTTCAAATTAAAATAATCATTGTTGAATAGTCCGTTCTTAGTAATAATACTCTTAGTATTGTAACCTATTTGATTTGTTCCATGGATTGAGAAGATCAGTCATTTAGTGGTAATTTTGGCATACATACATACATACATACATACATACATACATACATACATAGAAATACATCAGACTTGTTTACTCACATGATTTCAATTTTTACATTAAAGTGATATCCTGTGTTTTGTATTCTCTGCAGGGCAATCATTTGCTGACAACTTATCAGGCGTAAACAGATCCTTCAGCTTCTCAGTTCATCATGTCCTCGGATAATACTTTGTGAGTTTCTTTTAATTACCATACTTTTTCAGAGGTAATAAAGGCAGTCTCTATCCAGATAATGTCCAAAGAAGACAACGGATTGCTTAAGTCAATTGTTTGAGACAGATAAAATACTTAAGCTGTGTTCCTTTGTTTTGTGTACTGTATTTTTAGGGATGACGAGGATACCTTCAAGATTCTGATTGCCACAGACATTCACCTTGGTTACCTCGAGAAGGATGCCATCCGTGGGAACGACTCCTACAACACCCTAGATGAAATCCTGAAATGTGCAAAGACTAATCAGGTCTGTGCAAGTTGATCAACAACTCATAATCAATCTTGATAAATGAAAAAAGAAGCTTTGAGAGGGTGTCATTAGTGTTTGTCTTTTTAAAAACAAATAACCCCTGTTTTTCTTTCATGTGTTTTTGTCACGCAGGTAGATTTCATCCTCTTAGGGGGGGATTTGTTTCATGAGAACAAACCATCGCGCCGATGCCTCCACAACTGCATCACTGTGCTCAGGAAATACTGCATGGGAGACTCACCCGTAACCTTTAACATCCTCAGCGACCAGACCGTCAACTTCAACACCACACAGTCAGTTTACCACTTCTTCTGTTGTGCACGGTGGTCACCGTCAGCGCTGAACTGATGCTGAATTAATAGTGACACATGATCTGATGTGCTGCAGGTTCCCTTGGGTGAACTATCAGGATGAAAACCTGAACATCTCCATTCCTGTGTTCAGTGTTCATGGCAACCATGATGACCCAACTGGGGTGAGACACAACACCAAAACATTAGTGCCAACTGTTTGATCACTGCTTGTCTGTTAGTCTTGATGGTGTCTTTTCTTCCAAAAAGGCTGAAGGTTTGTGTGCATTGGATCTGCTAAGTGCCTCGGGTCTTATTAATCACTTTGGCCACTCCCACTCTGTGGAAAAGATAGAGATTAGTCCCATCTTGATGCAGAAAGGCAGCACCAGACTGGCTCTGTATGGTCTTGGTGAGTTTGTGTTTTGCGTTGTATGATGGGCATCGATCCTGAGATAACGCTGCCATTGCCCTAAACTGTTTTATGAATGTGTGTGAAGGTTCTATCCCAGATGAGCGGCTGTACAGGATGTTTGTGAACAACCAGGTTAGCATGCTCCGCCCAAAAGAAGACCAAGATGAGTGGTTTAACCTCTTCACAATCCACCAGAACAGGTGTGTCCCCATGTAAACCTTCTGCCTTATATGAACTGTATGCCTCTTGATACTTGAAAATGCAGAATGTGTAGTATTGTTGGCCACAAAATGATGCAACAGCAATCTTTGAAAAAATGTATGCTGGGCCAAAGCATAGGTATTTTAAAAGAGCTTTTCCCCCTTTTTGTTTTAAGTTTCAGGTGTAATTTCCACTGATAATACATGTCTGTATGGGAGAACCCAGACAGTTGGTCTTTTCTAGATGAGTTTTCTTTAATTTCTCCTACATTTATGTTTTATTGTAGGAGTAAGCATGGTCCCACAAACTACATCCCTGAGCAGTTCCTCGATGAGTTCCTTGACCTGGTGGTGTGGGGTCACGAACATGAGTGTCTGATAGCGCCAACCAGAAATGAGCAACAGCTCTTTTATGTGACACAGCCAGGAAGTTCCGTAGCAACCTCCTTGTCTCCTGGAGAGGCCACAAAGAAGTAAAAACACATGATAGTCTTCAAATTATGGCTGTGTGCTGTAAGACTGGTGTTAGACCTGTATGTCTCTTTGTGTTCAGGCATATTGGTCTCCTGAGAGTGAAAGGCCGTAAGATGAACCTGAAGAAGATCCCTTTAAAAACTGTTCGTCAGTTCTTCATTCAAGATGTGGTGCTGGCAGACTATGAAGACCTCTTTACACCTGATACTCCTCAGGTCACTAAGAAAGTGGAAGACTTATGCTATGCTAAGGTAACACTGAAGGTTATCATTAATCACACAGCTCCAGTTTTAAAAATCCCTGCTGAGTCTTATCCTTGTTCTGTCGTTTTTCCTTGTCGTCAGGTCTCAGAGATGTTAGAGGAAGCTGAGCGGGAAAGACTTGGATGTCCGCTCACCCCAGAGAAACCGTTAATCCGGCTGAGGGTGAGTCGGACGCATATTTGGAGTACAAAAAGACCGTCAGATCAACACATGCAACACATTTTGAATCTTTACTGCTTTCACCAGGTGGACTACAGCGGAGGGTTCGACACATTCAACACCTCTCGGTTCAGTCAGAAGTTTGTCGACCGAGTGGCCAACCCCAAAGACATCATTCACTTTCTGAGGCGGCGTGAGCAAAAGGAGACCGTCAAAGGTCTGAGTAGACTAAATGCACTCAGTCAGTCTTCTTTCAGCCTTGAACAAAAAACCTGAAGTGTTACATGTATTTATTTGATTAGCTCTGTCCTGAAAGGAGAGAGATTGTTTTCCCCTTTATTTCCTTAATGCTTAGGTATGTTTTCTCCTTGTCCTGTGTTTCTTTTTAGATGAAGTCAATGTCGATTATGGCAAGCTGTTGAAAACAGCTGCCGTTGAGGGGCTGAGAGTGGAAGACCTCGTCAAACAGTACTTTGAGGCAGCGGAGCAGGTGGGTCAAATAAAAACAGGATAACGGTACTTTCAGGATGTCAAATGTTTTCCTGTTATTTACAAATTGCTCTGTGTGTGTCTTCATAGAAGGTACAGCTGTCCCTGCTGACAGAGCAGGGCATGGGTAAGGCCATTCAGGAGTTTGTAGACAAAGATGAGAGGGATGCCATTGAGGAGTTGATCACCTACCAGTTAGAGAAGACACAACGCCATCTTCTGGCCAGAGGAGTCATCACAGAACAAGAAATAGATGCAGAGGCAAGATGGTGTAGCAAGCAGTGTGAGTTAGATGCATGTTTAAGGTTTTGCTATATTTAACACTTGATATATTCATCCTTTTTAGGTTAGAAGTTTCAGAGACTCCAAAAAGAACACGACAGAAGAGGAAAATGACATCAGAGAAGTAAGTCACGGTTTACAAACATCTGAAAAGATGTTTCTGTTCCGTGTTCAATATTTCCCTCTTCCATAGGCAATCAGCAGAGCCAAGGCTCACCGGTTAGAGCGAGGGGGCGACCCTGTGCAAGTGGATATGCCAGATGACTTTGCAGATGTCACCATGGACTCAGATGAAGGCTCGGTTCCATTTCCTGCTCCCACACGAGGCAGAGGGCGAGGAGGCAGAGGGCGAGGTGGCCGAGGCAGAGGCCGAGGTGAGAGTAAAACAGAGATATGTTTAAGGTTTGGTCAAACGTTAGGATTCATAGAAAATACACAGAAACAAATCTCTGTGTCTGTTTACCAGATTTCTCACTGCATTAAAGTAATTTAAAGGTGTAATATTATTTTGAAAGAGTACTTTTTCTGGTGTTTATGCAGGTGCAGCTGCTTCTGAACCAAAACCAGCAGGTCGGGGCCGTTCACAGAGGTCCTCCACATCCACCCAAAGCAGAAGCATAATGCAGGGTGGGAGAGGGTTTATTAAGCCTTCAACTGTGGCAAATGATATAAAAACATCATTGCCATTTGTTGAAAGAATCTCAGAAAATCTTAGAAAAATGCACAAAGATCTTCACCTGCCCTCATTGTTCTCTCTTCCTTTCCTCTCTTTCTGCAGCATTTCAGGCTCCATCCCAGAGATCTCGGACTGGAGCGTCCTCATCTTTTACAGCTGATGAAGTAAGTCAAATCACAAACTAAGAGAGCGTAGCCTTACTCTGTTTTGCTGTTCCAACAAATGTGATTCAGATCAGCACCACATCTACCATATAAGTAGTTTAATTGAATTTGGTTTGTCAGTTTTTTAATTATTTTTTTAATAAACAAAAAAAACCCAAACATCTACCCATGGTGTGGATCATCTCCAAACTCTTGTCTGTCCTCAGGTGACCATTGATGACTCTGATGAAGACATGCCTAATATAAAAGCTGCCAGACCGCCTACAAGGTTTGTATCTGTAGATTTTACACAGCAATTCTGATACAGGAAATAAACAGTTGTTTCTCTCCTCACTGTCTCCCTTTTCTGTGCATTTGAAAAAGTTCTGTATTCCAAAAATAAATCTTGTTTTTTCCTGATGTAGGCCCTCAGCATCCTTTCCTACGCGCAGCTCTCAGAGCCAGAGCCAATCATCACGAGGAATTGCGTTTGATGACAGTGATGATGATGAGGAGGTAAAGAGATGAGATATTATTAGACTTTAATCAGACATGCAGACTGTCTTCATTTTCACCTTTGAAAAGTAGCTAAACCGTAAGGACATAATTACTATGTGACTGTGTGTTATTTGGAGGTCCTAAATACTTTCAGCTCTTACATTTACCTTTGATCTGTCATATTCTCGCCGAGAAATGAACCGCACTTATTTATCACATTTTCAGTTTTCATTGAACAAAGCTTTTTTTTTCTTCTGTTGATTCAGGATAACCCATTTAAAGGCCCAAGACATCGTGCAAGAAAATAACCTCAAGTGTTCACAGTATGTGTCATGTGGAATTGTGGTTAATCTGAAAACACATCTCAAAGTGAGTTGCCATTCAATATGCTCAGCCATTGTCGCATAAGGAAAACAACCTCAATCTTATTAAGGATTAAAGTTTGCATGTTGCAGGAAAAATAATCCCATGTAGAGGTAGAGAGCCTCTTGTCTTCTATTTTAAAATTTACCAACGATGGTTGATATTTCTCGTTTTTTGTAATTTTTCTGGGTGTAATAAATGTTTTTCTATACTTAATGAAGTTTTTTTTTTTTTACATCCCCACGTTGCCCCCTGCTAAGTCACATACTATCCTCGTGTCATAAAGTGAACCTAAACCTAGATTAACAGGTTATAAATGACGTTTAGTTATTGTAAACAGGTGAAGTTTGGCTATAGCACATTACATAAATAAATCCCAGTTATACTGTTGAGACTAACTGTGAAAGACAAATAAATATGAATTGTTTACAGCATTTGACTTTTATCAAAATCTTAAAATCCTCTTCAAGAGCTTACTTTTTTTTTGCCTTGTCATTCGACTTATGTGTGAAATTTGAGATGACCATCTTATGCGTCATCAATTGTTAGGAGTTTATATAATGGTGAATGTAAACTTACATTCTGTCTGGTTCTTATTGTTACTTTTGGGTCAGGGGGAGTACAGGCTCCCTCCAGTAGGACAATGAGTGAATGGAGCAAGGAGCGATCAGGTGTCAGTACATTCACTGCTTTCACACTTAAAGAACACTGCTTTATTTGACAGAACAAAAGTATCCACTCCCTGGGTGGAAGCTTTTGATGTAGTTACAAACTATTTGCGGATGGAAAAATTTACCACATACACCACGTTTACAGTCTTACACATGAGTAATTTATTAAAGTTCAATAACTAAATATATACATCACAACGCATTGTTGTACTTCACTTCAAAGTTGCAACACCAACAACTTTTTGCTGGAACGAGAACTTTCAAATGAATTATTAAACATGACATTTTGGCAGAGTGCCAAGACAGAGCATATTCTACCTGTTGATAGCTACATTTTTTTAGCTGTTAAGCCAATAGCTTAAGTGACCAGCACTTTTATTGCGTGAATGTCTTGACGACACTCAAGGTATTACTCTGAAATTAATGGAGGCAGTACGAACACATAACAGTAGATATTTTTTCATTCAGTGCATTATCAGACAACCTATGTTAATCTCTTGCACATGAGCTCAAGTAACTCCCTTTCCACTTAAAGTGCTCACTGGTATGATTGGTAGAAAATGAGTCAAATGTTTCAGCTCAAGGAAATGGTCACCATAAATGCGCTCAACTTGGAGTAGGTGTCGCTTTTCCAAACCAATTCCATTCATCTCTACACATTTCACACTAGTCTCAGACTTCCCCTTACACAGCAGTTTAGTATGACCATCCCCACCTAAGGTTATCGCCCAACACATTAGCAGTCTCACCGGTCAAATTTTCAACTTTGACGCAATTTTTCCCCCCTGTTTTTTAAACTCATTTAATAAGCGATTTAGTCCATGAAAGCACAGGATTATAGTAGCTCAAAAACATGCTTGTTTGGGCTGTAGATTGTCATGTGACAGTTCCCACAAATGCACCTGTCCCCTGAGAAAGGAATCTGAAATGGCACAAAAAACACCTGAAAATTTTATAAAAAATATGCGTGTGTGTGTGTTGTTTATGAGTGTGGCTGTTAGGCAGTTAGTTTTGCTGTTGATATACATTTTCAACTTCCCCTTTTCTCACAGTTCTTCTCTAATCCTCGCATCAAAACAAGTCCTTTCTTGCAGTTTCACAGTTTGAAGAAGAGTGGAATGGAGCCTTGTGCTCGGTGTGGCCATGGTGGAGGACATCAAGGATTTTTCTGGGTGGACAAAGTACAAATTATTGGTAACCGGAGCGTTCATGTATTGTTTCTGGTAATCTTATACCCTTATAAAATACTACAACAAAGAGTGTTTTTTTCACTTCTTCTAAATGAAGATTCACAGTTTTTGCTTGGAGTTCTTTTCACAGATGTGGAGCATTTTACGTGTTTTATACCTCAATGACTGTACGAATCCAGCCGAGCATCTCTTCTACGTTGCAGTAGACCCCCGGCTTGTTTTCTCTCGCACAGCCGACTCCCCAGCTCACAACTCCAACCAGGTTCCACTGAGAAGAGGCGAAATGCACCAAAGGGCCTCCACTATCCCCCTTGAAAAAAATGTTTGATCATCAAATGTCAAGATTGTAAACCATATGACAAACAATGCCATATATAACGGACTGATAAACATTGTATATTTGTTGCAGAACCGTGTTAATTTTTAACCTGAAAGAGCAGTTTATTACCTGGCAGGCGTCTACTTTTCCCTCCAGGAAACCGGCGCAGATCATTCTCGGTGTCACATAGCTGCCATATATACTGGGGCTTGAACATTTACTCTGGCTTATCAGGGGGATGCGGCCCTTCTGCAGTGAAGGAGAAACATTCCCTACAAGTAGAACAAGCATAGAAATTTCAACTACGACAAGGCAAAAAATGTAATCCCATAAAAAATCGTCTGTTCTCGAGTTAAGGGCTAGCATGTAGACTTCTGACCATTTTCTTCCAGGTATCCCCAGCCTGTTACAACCATGGAGGCTCCAGCAGAAAGCCCAAAGGGTTGAGGAGGTAGACAAATTGGCTTTTGGCTCTCTGCGAGACAAGAATTGTAAGTGTTAAAGCAATAAATGGGTCATTTTTTAATCACAATAAAAAATATGTTACTCTTGAAGTGTAGTTAAACAAATTCAACCTCTATTCAAGCACAAAGGATTATCATGCTTTGGGCTACAATATGTAATAAGTGATAATATAAACAAATAGCTTGAGTTGAGGTTGGAATTATTCACTTTTTACACAGGTTTTCACCAAAGTTTGCCGTTTGTCATCCCTACCACCAGGGGGCAGAAGACTAAAGCCTACTGATAATATTTATTCAGAGATATAAAGATTAACTTTACCCAGGTGATTTAAAATGGGTAATTAGCTAACTCAAAGTCACTGAGCAACAAATTCAAGCTAACCTCCCACTCTGATGGGGCTGCTGAGCCTCATTAGAGCTATGTCGTAGTCGTTTCGTTCGGCATCGTAGTCTCCGTTCAACACGACCCTGTCGACGTAGGAACCTCCAATTGGGCTGATGAACGTCCGTCCTGACACCACCCTCCACCGAGTCAGCGCCCTGTTGCTGCTGCAGAGCCCGAAATAGGAGCGGGAGAAGGAAGCTGAGTCAAAGGCTTTGTGTCGCAAATGGAAATGCAGAGGAAAAATGGACAGAAAAGTGAACACGCACCCAGTGAAACAGTGGGCGGCCGTGACCACCCAGCGGGGCGACACCAGCGAGCCTCCGCACTTGTGCTGCCCGTCCCGCTGGAGGCTCACCTGCCACGGCCAGTCCTCTATGGAGGCGTCCGTACCCCCCACCACACGGTCCTGAGAGCCCACCTGCCCACAGTCTGTCACAGGACGCAGAAAGATACACACTTTTCAGTTGTTTCGTTAAAAAACAAAACAAATTTTGGGGGGCTTTGCAGTCAAGTCTTATTCCATTGTTGATTTATACATATAAATGATCTTATTCAATAACTTTTTTTTTTCATTCTTCCACAAACTCTTGACGGTTGGGATCATTGGGTAAGCAACTAGGTCAGGCCTTGCTCAGAGGTTTTTTTTTCTTGCAGTGTACATTCCTGTCATCCTATACACCAGAGTACTAAATTGCCTTGGAAAAACATGCACAGTAGGTAGGTAGTTTTTCTAAAACTAAGACTCACCTGAACAGGTCAAAGAGACCACGGATCCGGAACTGCACGTGGTGCTATTTAGGGAAAAAAAACAATTCAGAGCTGATTTTGTAAAAGAAAAAGGTAGTAATATACTGTAGAAAGACTAGATAATCAGTCATGTATATGTAAAAAATACAATCCCTTGTTGAACTTAATTTAACCCTGGTTTAACTACGTTCCCATTTCTTTGTTGAGCTTTGTCATGGTAAAGTACCTGTTCAGTTCACTTTCATGAAGGGAAAGGCACAGAGGGAAGAAAAACTGAACCTTTTTTGTTTTTAGGAAGAGAAACTGTTCAACGCATGGTTGATCTTTTAAAAGAAGAGAACACAACAGAGAGCAAAAGTAAAATTAAAAAGAGAAAATGGGAACTCAAGTGGAATTTTTTATGTGAGACGAGGAAGTATAGCAAAAGATTCACACAAAAGATGACCTAGGGAAAGAATCTCCCCCACCAAAAAAAAAAAAAGATCAGTGGCAAATTCATGATCCCATTTGAGTTTGCATTTTCATGGCTGGTGATTTGCATTTCTCACCGGGCGATGGTAGCCTGATGTATGGGTGTGCTTGTGGTCTTGGGCTTGACAGCTCTGAATGGTCCAGTTCTCATGGACGACGCCAAACTGTCCACTCTGACCATGGTGCTACGAGGTTTACTGTGGAAACAGGCGGGATGATGTTTGGCCTGATTTCTGAGTTAAAATACAAACGTCGCTTACACTTCCAACATCATGCGTTGGTGCGTGTGTGAACTTACTTTGCGTATCCCAGTTGTGTGCAAGCGGTCTGTGTGTGTTGCGTTGTCCAGCCGTCACCGCACACGCTTTGCCATCCGGCACCACCACTGTACACTTGCAGGATGAACTTGTCTGAGGAAAGGCGCACTGGAGGAAGGGATGGTAAAGAGACGAAGAGGAATCATTTAAAACTTTGTTATTTGCCTGCAGACTCAACGTGAGAGTTTCAGATGTATGCTTTACCTGGGAATGTTGAGTTCACTTTATAATACGAAAGGCAAGCGATTTCATCCTCTCCTCCTGCACAGTCATCTTTGCCGTCGCAGGCTTTGTCTATTGGGATGAACTTCACTGAACGTTTGCAGAAGAAGTACTTGCTTTGGATCAGCTTTGTGACTGTACGGAAAGTAGTGACACATGGTTACAAAAGGGATAACAGAAATGAGAAATGTTTGATAGTCTGTTTTTTTCGACAAAGAGGGATTAATGATGCACCACTGCATACGTGTCCTATGCAGTGATCCAAGCTGATATCAGGAAATGCAATTTTGGAAGTGTATAGATGAATCTAGAACCAGGAATTATGACTTACTAAAGTATCCCGCTGTGACCAGTATGCCCAGTATCACGACAATGATAAGAACAGTTAGCACCACTTTCTTTGTCTTAGACGCCGTGTCACTCCGGGGTGTTGGCGCTGTCATGGGCTTTCTTCTACGGCCTGGCCGTGGAACTACACACAGGAGCACAGTGAGAGAATCAAAAGCAGGAAGGGAAAAAGGGGATGACGAAACAGAAACAAGAGAAAGACAAAAATGAATCAAGGTGGGAAAAAAAGTTCTGAACTAAGTCTAAAAGATGTCCCCTCTTACACTACAGCTTCAAGTACAAAACATGGTGTTCTCAAAGTTTCCCATCAGCAACAGGAAGCGACTGATTGCTTACCAGGTTGCCTTGGATTCAAAGGTCTGGAGCTATCCTCAGGCAGCACAACAAGTGTCTGGGGGAGAAATGAAAAAGAGACATGAGAAAAAGTGTGGTTTGAGAACTGCATGCCTTCAGAAAAAAAACACTGTCTGTGTGTGTATCTGTAATGGAAAAGAGTTAAGTCTGCCATGGGGAAGGTCTCTTCTTCACACAATTATTGTATGGATTGACAGATATTTGTATGAATAAACTATTACACATCTGTTATCAACCTGTGTAAACTTGAAAAGACACGGCTCATATAAGTTTATAATGCAAACCCCGGGTGTGGCAGAGCCATCACCAGCCATGGGCTGGATCGACTGGCAAGTTCTAGTCTTATACATCTCTGGGGATCTCAGCCACTCTGCTGCCAGCAGTTTTTATAATGTGATATGTGATAAATGTATTCAGCTCAACTATTCTCTGAAGTATACAGTGTAGCAATGTCTACTGGGACTTGATGTGTCTTTCATTCGGACGCAACTGATATTGCATAGAACTAATTTCCCACAGTTGAGTCACAGGAGGAAACAGAGAGTGATTACTCCCCTAACAGAAATGGGGATACATCAAATGCAAAAATGAAAGCTCTGTGTCCTTGTGGAAAGGTTGTTGAGGCTTATTATGGAACAATCATACCCATTGTTACAAAATCAGAATTTAGTTTAGATTTTTCTTTTTAATCTTATGAAAATACATTCTTTTTCTCAATTGGTTAAGTGTTATAAACAAGTATTTCTGGTGATTAATTAGAAATAGTTCTTTTCAGCCTTTGATGACAGGTTGCTATTATTTCAGTTTTGCCACAGACAAGTAATACTGTGGGTTGTGGTCAATTTCGAAAACGTCACTAATGAGAGTTTGCGTATTCACTTGGGTGTTACTTTGACATTGCCACATAACCAAACATTTATTAGTATTTTTTTGCAATGTAAGAAGGACCTGGTTCACATCAAGAGCGTGGTCTTGTGGGAAGCTTGTGTAAATGTGTAGTTAGTGATATTGATATTTAATGATAGGTTACATAGATTACTGTCCAGGGTGTACCCCGCGACCCCATTAGGGAATTATGATAATGGATGGATGGGTTACATAGAATTGCTTGTAATATATATATATATATAGCAAAAACATTTTCTAATAGAAATTGTTGAAGTGTACAGACTCTAAAGAGAGAGAGGGACAAAGAATGTGGTTGGGCAAGCTTTTTCTCTTTTTTTCTCAGGGTGAATCACTTATGCTTGTTGTGGCACTCTGTTCCCTGCTACACTTCCGTATGACTTTAGATTTAGATTTAGATTTAAACACACAGACACTTTGCTCTGCAGTCTATATGTCATGTCGTTAAATCTTTCTCATATTTCTCATCACATTTAAAGAGCGATGGTTGTGCTTTTGTGCATTAAGCCTTGCAGGCTTTTTTTTGTCTGTAATGTGAGAACAGTTTTCACACATAACTGAAAATACTGCTTTGTCCATAGAAATAATGTATGGCCATATAATTTTACTTTTATGTAATAGAGTGTAAGGTGATTCGGTTACTTCCCATTTGATGTATGTAAAGCCTCATATTTAAGATATCTCAAACATTCAAAGACAATGGAACTGTTTACATAATTCCATTTAAGATAGGGAGTTGAAGGGATATTTTGAATGAACGACTGATACCAATACCTCCTTGTTATTTTTTTTATGGCGAAAAGACAACACTACAGTCATCATCACCTGATTGGCATGAAGCATTAAAGCGAGGCAGACTGACAATGAAAAGTAGCACGTCACAAAAAATAGGGAACAAGAAGGATGGCTTAAGAAAACAATGTTGGCAAATGACGGACACATTTCTGCTCTGTGATACTAAGTGACATAACATCTGTACTTGTGAACATCAGTGACTAATACAACCCATTTTAACAAACCAGAGCTGAACTGCCAACAGGCTGGCACCAACAAGTTTTGTTTTTGTTGACTCATGACAACCCAGAAGTGTAGTTCAGCCTGTTATCCAGGAACTGTGTCTTTGTTTTTGGAAAAAGGAGACATAACTAGGTCATTCTGAACATATGTAAATATTGTGATGGAAAGCCTTTTGTTAAAAAAAAGGTATTTCCCGCAACCTGTCATCTTTTCTGGATTATGTTCTTTCAAATGCTTGTGCTAACAAAAGGTCTTTTTAGAAGCTACACGTGACAGGATGGATGAATGTTAATTGATTTGCTAGCTCATGCATTCATAATATTTCGGTGCAGTAACAAATACATTTTCATTTCCAAGAGCCAACTATTTGGTGTATCAACCTGAAACTTTTAGAGGGGCAAACAAAAGCCTTGACATGCTTCTGTGGCTGTGATGATGATACCGGATGAGTAATCTACGATGACAACAGCTGATATGTGGGACAAACAGTGGAATAACCCACAACAATATATATATATATTGGTATAGTTGGTTTGAAAATGATTTGTATTGCTACAATTGAACAGGAAAAGAAATGGTGCAGGACAAGATTTGGAAGCCACTTGCGCTGATGAAAATGGTGCCAAAATGTTCTGATATCATAGAACAGTGTGACTGTCATCTATAAACAACGAAACAAACGGCAGCTCAAATCCTTGTAGTAGTTAGTCCGCCAAAACATCCAATGTTTTATCTCTATAGGTGTAAAGTTTGGCTTTGTTTTGTTTTTTTGCATTTCCCATAAAAATCTTTAGAGGCATTATTCATGTTGGCCTGTAGGCTTGGTGAACTTTCAGTTTCACAACCTTTTGAATCCAGAGAAGAAAAATAAGAAAAAAGAACTTGCAATGACAATAACTTCCATGAAATTCTAATTGTTCCAACACGAATTGTAAATCTATCAAACCTTCTCCAAAAAGTTGTAAAACATAATGATGCCTATCTTTATGATGATCATTATTACTTCTAATCTTAACACACTTTTGATATGTTCCTTTATATAGCACAGCTATATCAGCTCAGTTCCATTGTAGCTGCTGGTGTGAACAGGTACGTGATAACAACTTTGTATGGTAAAGATGTTCTTACAAAACCACCATTGTTCTTACCCAGACCAATTCAAATTTTTCCTGCTTTTATGCTATATTTAAATTCTCCATGAATAGCACTCACCCACATGATGTTCTTGTCCTTCTTGGTTTCCTGGGTAGACCTTGTTCGTCTCAGTATAAACAAAATCAACTCTGCCCCCTCTACCTGTAGGTAAGATCCCCTCTATCCTTCTTCCTCTTCCTCCTGGTGTCCCGCTTTACTGGCTTAAAATGCAAAGCCTGTTGGAATTCTTTCCCAGTATTTTCCCCTACTCCCTCCCCTTTTCTTTCTACAGCAGTGTACTGTAACTGAATCTGGCTTGAAGGATGCCTTGCTTGCCCTGCTTCAAAACGCCATGGCTGCGATAAAGAGAGCTGCTGTACAGTGTTGTGTGTCGCCGCCACGCAGATCTAGAAGTAGCTGCTTTGAATAACCAAGCCCTGCTGACAAAACAAAAGTAAAGTCCAGGTAACCTGACACTTTAGCCCTCCTATCTCTCTCTATATGTCTCTTCCCACCTGTGAGTGTTCCACTTTTTGGTTCCTCCCCTCTCATACATTCCCTACCTGTCAACTTTAAAAAAAATATTTAAGGCTTTTAAAGTTACATTTGTTGGCAAGACACTTCCTTTTTGCCACACTTTTTTGCCATTCCATACATATTTCAAAACCAGATACATAAACAGCAAGAGCTTCAAGGAGACAAATTAAGAATGAATACAGAGGTGCACAACAGAGACCAGTGTGGATAGTGGTATGTGTTGGCAATATGTTGTCCTGAGGCTGAGGTGTGGTCCAACTCACTTTGTTTTGACAGACTGATTTGAAGGCAGTTGGTTTCAGTCTTAAGACTGTCTGTCATTAAGCTGTGAGTCATGCAATGCCACATGTCAGGCACGGATGATTTCTTTCATATTCCGCCAGCCATTTTTAACCTATTGAGGCATATAGAGGAGGAGTGTAATCACATTTACCATCACCATCATTTACCAACACACTAATATTTTTTGTTAGCACTAAATGCAAGGTCCAGCTCAGAGTGATTGAAATGTTAATATGAAGTACTTTACACACTTTTAAAAACTATTAGATTATCACTGTATTGTGGACACAAATGTCACTGAGGCCCCTGGATAAAGTTTCTGAGGAGCTTTAGTTGTAATCTGATTTTAAATTTCTACTTTACACCAAGCCAACAGTTGTGGTTAAAATTAAATGTTTTTTTTTCTCTTGATCATCATTAGTTGCCTCAATATGCCTGAACATGTCAACTAATAAAGGCCTTGACATGGGAAGGTTACCTTTTCTTCAGAAGGGTTAATTTAGCAGATAAAGATGCTTCAGTATAGCTACAGTTAATGTTTTGAGGTACTGAATGAAGATACCCCAAAACAGAGAGAGAGAGAGAGAAATAAGGATTGATTTCAAGTACAAGAGAAAAGACTGACAAGGTTGGCTGAAGAGAAAGAGCCTTTGTTATAAACAGCAGCCGATTGTGTTGCTTGACCTCAACTACTGGATGCACTGATCGCAAAAGCTCATTTTCAAACTCTTTTCCCATTGAAAAGTAGGAGTGCTTGTCACAGACGCTGTATGTAAAAGGGGACAGAGGGATCGATCTAAAACTGCAAACGCATTTGCATTTTAATTTTAGGCTGATGGCTTTCTGACACGCACTTTCACACTCAGGCTACAGCTGCTGTTAACCTTGCTGTTTTTCAGGTGTGCAACTGCCAAGACATTTAAAGACTCCACCCTGTAAGGAGAAAAGGTCTGTGACCTATTTTGTGCATTCATCTGACTTGGTAGAGTGGTAAATGATGCCGTGATGAAAAACATGTAAATCGTGCATCGTGTACTTCCATCTACAGTACGTGATCCTCCAAAATATTTTAAATTTCAACACAGTTATTACAAACCATGTGACCTTTAGAAACATTACCTACAGTGGCTGCAAAGAGGAACAGGAAACATCTAATAAATCGAATACAGAACCTTTTTGATTTAAAAAAACAAACAAGTAAAAGTATATGATTTAGTTCATAACTAGATATCAACACTTAATAGGTGTAGTCCACATTGATTGTGAGAAATTGTGTGATTATTGTTCATTATGTATAATCCTTTGAAATTGGATGCATGTACATTTCAAGGACAATTTGCTATTCCAGTGATCGCCCGAACATTAGTCATCCAAAACCAGTTACATATTAACAGATTTATTCAAGGTTATTGCTGCCATGTCTTTACCTCATAGTATGAAGCTATTCAAACCAAATTTTAACTGTTCCGTTGAGTCTATTTCCATGGACTCACAAGGCACAGCGTCAAATAAAAACAGCAACAGATTAAAATGCCGTTCAAATTTAAAAGAGAAAACAGAGAAAAATAATTTTCTCATACACAAAAACAGACATTGTACCGAACAGCAGCACACTCTTCTTTACCTGTACCGTTGGTCTCAGTTTGTAGCTCTATTGCAAAACATTTGGAGGTCAGCAAGAAAGCTGGTCAAAGAAGTAAATCCCAGAGTGTGGATTGTCTCTGGATGCTTTGAACCAATATTTGTTCTGGCCAGCAACACCCTTTACAGTTACTTCCATCCCTCTGCCCTCCACCACTGTATCTCTCTATGTCTCTCTCTCTCCCTCTCTCTCTCTCTCTCACACACACATAAACACACACACACATGCACGCACGCACGCACGCACGCACGCACGCACGCACACACACACACACACACACACACACACACACACACACACACACAC